ACCATCCTGAGTGAGGTAACCCAGTCGCAAAAAGACAAACATGGTATGTACTCACTCATATATGGATGTTAGACATGGATCAGGATAGTGCCAGTTTGCACTTCCACTGATAGAGAGTCTGGGAAACAGGAAAGAACCTAAAAGATATGCATATATGCATAGTACCCAAGAGAAGAGGATGGAGACAAGATCCTCTGAATGGATGGGGAACACGGCGAGGGGTGGGGGGGAGTGGGACCTGGGAAGAAGAGAGGGGGTGAAGAGAAAGAGAGTTGGTCATGGGGGAACAGGAAGTTGAGGGGGTGGGAGTAGAATAGGGGGAAGAGGGAATCATAGGATCGAATACAGATCAGGCACCAGAGTGACCTCGAGTGATCTAAAGGGACAACACCAATTGGCAAGCTAAGCAATAGTGGAGAGACCACCTCGAATGCCCATTCCTGATAATGAACTTGATGACTATAACCATCCGGGAGCCTTCATCCAGTGACTGATGGAAGCAGAGGCAAACACACACAATTAAACACTGAACTGAACCCAAGGAACCCAGTGACAGAGAGAGGAGTGATGAGCAAATTGGCAAAGAATGGGCTGGCAAAACCAGCAGAGACAGCTGATCTGAACAGGGGAGAGCTCTTGGACCCCAGACCGACAGTGGGGAGGCCAGCAAGGGACTGATCTGGACCCCCCCAAATGTGAGTGTCAGCGAGAAGGCCTGGGCAACCTATGGGACCCTGAGTTGTGGATCAGTGTCTATCCCTGGTATACAAACAGTCTTCGTGTGCCTATAGCACAAAGAGGGATGCTCTCTCAGCCTGGACTCTTAGGGGAGTGCCTGGACCCTACCCAGAGTAAAATGACAGACTCTAGATATCCCCTATGTGGAAGGATTTGGCAATAGGGTGGGAGGGTGGGGGGGAAGGGGAGTGCGGGAGGAGGGGAGGGAGAGGGAACTGGGATTGACATGTAAAACAAGCTATTTAAAAATTAAAATAAAAAATGATAAAAAAGTTCTTTTGGTTAAGCGAAGACAGTTTTAATATGTTGAAAGGATAAGTAATGGTTAGATGAAAATTACAAACTTAAAGATCTGGAAACACTTGGAGAATAAAAATATAAAACCAGGCATACATTATGATAGTAACTATAAAAAATGCACTTGAGGGACAGGACTGGTCACTGTGTTAGGATACTGGAACTATTGTTGACTATGTAACAGACTATGGTTGACTGTGTTCTCACCCTTCCCGGGCTCCCTGCCCTGCAGGCGCCACCACCACCACCACCACCACCACCACCACCACCACCACCACCACCACCACCACCACCACCATCATCATCATCATCATCAATTTTTGCTTGTTTGTCTTTTGAGTCAATGTTTCCCATCTCCCAGGCAGGCCTCCAACTTTCAATCATCTGGCACACTGCTACACCCAGCTGTTAAAATTGTGAGATAATCAATGCTCATGAATAAAAGTCTACATTTCAATCCGCCCAAGAAAGTGGCCTTAAGGTTAATTCTGTGGGTTCCACAAAGCTGCTAATGGCTCCTCATTCCTTGGCAATGTCTCCTCAACATGTCACCCCAGTACCTCCATCAAGAGGCTCTAGTTGCAGTGAGCTTGGGAAGCTGGAGTCCAGTTAATTGTGACTTGGGAGCTTATTCACTACTCTTTATGTCAGGTACCACGCTTGGGCTGGTACCCCACCAGCTCCAGACCTCAGCATTTGATGCAGTTTGTCCTACCAAACATTTCAGACGAGCTGTCCACCCACCACCAAAATCAAACTGAGGTCTGTGGAGACTTATTTCAGTAATAGAAGGAAGACTGGAAACCTGCTGTGGTGGTGCACACTGTTAACCCCAGCACACAGGAAGCAGAGGCAGGCAGATCTCTGTGAGTGTGAGGCCAGCCTGGTCTACACAGAGTTCCAGGACAGCCAGGGCTATACAGTGAGACCCCATCAACAGAAAAAGAGAGAGTGAGGGCGGGAGGAAGATTGGCTAGGAAAACATCACATAAAAAGGCTCAGAGTGCCTGAAAAAAAGTGGGCTCTGTTATATTCATCACTTTCAATCCTGCTAGGCCAGTATTGCAAGGAGTTGCTTATATTGATTGTATTTAGCAGCTTGATATCGGCAAGCTTTATTGAGTGCTCAGCAATGTTATCACCAAGTTTGCACCAGAATAGTTTAGGTGAGGTTCTACTACTAACACCTGGCCCTGAGCATCACTGCTCCTGCTTTGGGTAGAGCACTGGTACAGCAGTTATGAAACTGTGAGCAGAACACTGCCCTAGTGTGCCCATTTCCACACCAGTACCCTGGAGACTGATGCTTACACCTGCTCCTGGGACGCGCGGAGGGATAATGTGAAGAGAGGACCCAGTACTCACTAAGTGCTCAATAAGCATATAAGTACGATGAGACCTGTGTTCTTGACCCTGACTGGCCATGGTAGTGACTTCTACTTTCAGCCCTCATGTACTTCATCCTTCTGCCACTTTGCCTGCCATTTATTATACTCATTCTGTGGGGGTGAGGGGATCTCCCAGACAGTCAAGGGACCATACAAAAATTCCTATTGTGATAAGCGCATAGTGCTAGCAGAACTTAGAAATTTACTGAGCCGGGGGCACTCGGTGAAGCAGGCTTCTCTGCCCAGTGTAGTTCAGGCAGATGAGAGGCAGAGGGAAGGCCCGGCAGCAGTTAACTCCAGGCAACCCTGAAGCAAGGGGGGCAGAGAGCCCTGATTAAAATGCCCAGTGCAACCAAAACCTACCTCACCTCAGTTTTATCAGGTCTACTACCTGGCACCCTGGAGATGGAAGGCCTCACCCTTAGGGAGTTTATAATTAGCAATTAGGAAAGTATACACAAACGATTCAGATAGCTGGCAGAGAGGCTGAGGCCAGAAGCCTGTCCATAAGAAAGTTCAGTTAGTACTTGTTTATACAGCTTAAGCCTTTGCTATCTACTACGGATCTGCTGGGGCAAGATAAGGGTAGCCCTGAAAATGTTCAGCTGGGATAACAGCTGCATGGGAAAGCCCCGGGAAAGGCATGCTGGGAGAAAGATTAGAGGGAGGACTGTTATGAATGGGATCTATCTCTAGCTGGACACACGCCCTTGTCTCCTCCCATAAAGATTAATCCAATGGGGCAGGTGGGTGGGTGGCTTGGGTATGGGGTCATCTCTAGCAAGGCAGTTTCACCTTATGATAATGTGCTTTCCTTTCCAGAATTCCCACCTCCAATGCAGTCCAATGGAGCCACCATGATGTTCTGCTGGATCGGCAAGCCTTTCCGAAGCTTGACAGAGAAAGATGTAACTAGTTTTGTTTTCTTTTTCTGTCAGCTGCTGGCCAGAACCTAAGTCTGCTTTTTAACTCCCTAATTGACACTTTTGGCTTCCTTACTTTGTCAAAAGCTCCCGTGCTGACCACGTGGCTGCCTGCTGCCAGGTGGCTGGCCTGTGAGGGCCTAACTCAAGCAGCATGGCTTTTCCTTCTCAGTCCTTCCGTCTAGGCAGCTAGGGATTGATGCCCTGGGGTTCTCCTCGTAAGTTCTAATAAGCTGTCCTCAGGCTTCTATCTACCCATTCTTAAATTCTTTTTAATTTTTTTAAATTTTAAAAATTCTTTTATTTAAATTAGAAACAAGCTTGCTTGACATGTCAGCCCCAGCTCCCTCACCCTCCCCTCCTCCCCCAGCCCCCCTAACCTCCCACCCAATCCCCACTCCGCTCCCCAGGGGGAGAAGAGGAGGGGAGAGGAGGACATGGGGGAGCAGGAAGGTGAGTCGGGGGAAGAATAGAGGAGAACAGGATGAGAGATAACATAATAGAGGGAGACATTATAGGTTTGAGGAGAGATCTGGCACTAGTGAGATCTCCAGAGATTTACAAGGATGACACCAACTGGCAAACTAGGCAATAGTGGAGAGGCTACCTTAACTGCTCTTTCCGGATAATGACATTGATGATTACCTTATATGCCATTCTTAAATTCTTTTATTAATGAAACTAAAAATCTAGAAGGTACCCTAATCTCTCAGGTTATCATATGGTAGACTGGGTAGCCTGTTGGGATACCCCAAGATTTCCATTTCTTTCCTGCTTTTCAATTAATTGTCAGAGAAAATAAACCCATTCCTGCACCCCTAGACAGTATCAGTTACTCCATGAAGAAGTGAGTGGGAGATATGTGCATTGTGCAGTCAAAATCGTAAGAATTGACAGAAGGGAGAAAAATCCATGTCCATATAAAAATCTAAGCCCTAGATTTTCATCCCATAAAGCAGGACTGACCTAAGACCCTAATCCCACCATCTGCCCTGAATCCTACCATCTGCCCCTCTATCTTTATTCCACGCCCGGTACATCTTAGCTACACTCCCTCCCTGCAAGGTTCCACTGAGACCAATTTTGATTCAAATGTAGACAAACAGGACAATAAGAAGACAAAGCAGATAGAAGCACCTACTGTGTGAGCCTGGTGACCCAGTTAGATTCTCAGAGTTCACAGTGAATAGAGAACTGACTCCCAAAACTTGTCCTCTAACCTCCTCCCAGCCACACCCCACATTTAAACTCTCTCTCTCTCTCTCTCTCTCTCTCTCTCTCTCTCTCTCTCTCTCTCTCTCTCTCTCTCTCTCTCTCTCTCTCATGCAAAAGAAATAAAATAAATGTAGGCAGATAACTTCCCATTCCAAAGGTAAAGACACCAACCTGGAGGAAAGCTAATGGACAGCAACGTGAATCATTGTACATGAATCATTGTAATGTTAATTTGGAGAAAGGGAGAACAAAAGAAAACTACAATACCATCAAACTACTGGACGACAATGCCCAAGGCCTGGGACAGCCCACTGCCCTGAGCCCTCCGCAGCACCGAAGCCCTTGCCACCTGTCACACACTGGGTCCAAACACCAGCCTTTCTCACCCTTGCCTAGTCCATCACACACTGGGTCCTGAAAACACCAAGTGGCTACTTACTATCCAGGAGGCTCTGGTGTGACATCTGGGCTGATTGCTGAGCTCTGTAAAAGAAAAAGGAAAAGGAACAGTGTGAAAAGAGAAAGGAAGAGTGATTTGTGTGGATCACAGGTTGCAAAGCAAGGGAAAGGAGACAAGCCAATTCCGTTTGGTTATGTAGACAGCGCCCCTGAGGGACAGCGGCTTGGACATAAAGACTGTGAGGGGTGCCAGGCTCTCATCTTTTTCCTCACAGGAGATGAAGCCACAATGCAGGTGGGGCCAGAGGTGGACTTCAGCTCACATTTATCCTCAGCAGCAATCCCAGGGAGCAGAAGCCCCTCCATCTGTGCCTCTCCAGTCCTCAGAAACCTTGCCAAGCCCACTGTAGATCCTTCCATGCACCCCACACGCCACACCCAGGAGGGTCACACAACACTCTAGGTAGAAACTGCATTTTAAAGATGCATTTTAAGATGATCACACCATGTTCACACAACTCATTTATGCCTGTAAGTTGAGAAGTATGAGAATGAGACAAAATTCCACAAAACCCAGTAACAACACTGTCAGGACAGGTTGGGGGATGCTTCATAGAACTATAGGCCACTAACAAAAGGCAGAAGTCAGTCAAGAGCTACTAAGAAGCGAAAGCAATGTAATTCCGTAATCCAGAGGTTCCTCGGTTGCATTAGAGAAAGAAAAAATGCCAAGGGTTCAACATATTTGTGGTAAGTAAATCAATGTAGAAGTTAACTTTTACAGATATCCCTAATTAATAATGACTATAATCCCTACTAATAACCATTTTAAGGAAAACAAACTACCTGGAGAAGAGACACTTAGGGAAGAGAAGGACACTGAAGGTGAAAGAAGAGACTGGATTAGGGAAGAGGAGATGACAGGGAGGAGAGGTGGCTTCATTGGGGGCCCCTCACTTAACTCAGTCTTTTCCCTTAGAGGCACTGGTGTCCCAGGGTGAGGTTTCCCTCTCCTCCCCCAGAGCCATTACTTTTCAGAGAGGCTCTGTCACACTCAACCCCCAACTCAACCCCATCATCTTCTATCCTACATTTGTGTCCCCTGCCCACCTGCATCATGAGGTGCCTACCTCTTGGCACGTGCCCCATTCTACTTTTGAAGACCTTGCCAGTGCTCCACAATGAAAATCCTTGACCCTGTTAGGTCCTTCTGGGTCACCCTTCCTGTCTTCTCCTTCCCTCCATCCATGTGTCTCTACCCCACGTGTCCTCAATAATGCTACACCCTGCAGCACAAATTCCTTTTCATAAACTAACACCCAGAAAACAAAGTCTATATAAATTTCTACAACCCATTCCCTGGACGTATCCTAGGAATTTATCTTTATTTGTTTATTACTGTGTCGGGGAGGGAACGTGTGTCACGGTGCGCGCGTGGAGTCAGAGAACGGCTTTCTCAGTTCTCTCCTTCCGCCTACTTCATCCAGCTCCAGGGATGGGAGCCAGGTTGTCAGGCTTGGACAGCAAGCAACGCCCACTCACTGAGCCATCTTACTACCCCAAGTCCACTTCTATTGATCTCTCTGGAGCAGCTGGCTGGGGAGTCTGCATTTCTCCTCTTGCTCTGCATCATGCATCCCTCCACTCTCTGAACTGTCCTTCCTGTGCCTCACCTTGTCTTGCTAGTGCCATCCAACATCCGAGTGGGTAGCTGTCGGTCCCTACATCTCAATCTTTTACTTGCTGACAGCTGGATGTCTTCATTGACTCCCAAGACCCCACAATCACTTCCCTGCAGGCAACTCTGATGGGCTTTTTAAGCCCTTACCTGCTTCCTAAGATCTAGTGTTATTGTTCCTGCTGCCTTCTGGATATCCCTACCTGATATCCAGCCAGCATCTCAGAAGCCAAATACCTGAAACCAACTCCATGACTTTACCTCTGCATTGATTCTCTTTCTAGCTCCCTCAACATGGTGATAACCATACTCTTCTAGCTGCTAAGCCCAAACCCTTTCCCCAGCTCATCATTCCTCACGCAACTACATAAACTAACCCAATATAACTCCATTGGAAGCCTCTCTCCATCTGTCCTTCCCTCCTCCCTGTTGGTGTCTCCACAGAGTGGACTCCCACCATGGTCTGCTTGAATTATTGCAGCAACTTCCTTACCCTCTGACACATTTTCTGCCTTCAATTCATCTTCTTTAAGGGAATAGTGCTCTCTCACTCAAAAACATCTTTAGCTACATCAGTGATCTGAAGGAAACCCAACATCTCCTCAGTCACACTCCTGAGTCTACAGTCTTTCCCAAACCTGCCCATCCCCCCATTTCTTTTGAACGTGTACATTCTATGTTTCCCTAGTACCTCAAAATGGCTATCTCCAATAAGTGTGGCCTCAACTGTCATATCCTGAAGACAGTCTCTTTTGTGTGTGAATAGAGCCCCTGCAAGCATGTCTCACATATGGTCAAGACTAACAGCACCAGTCCAGGAAAACGGAAAATGGTTTGTGGATGCATCAGACACTTCCTTGCCCCATGGTGTCTCTGGCAGGGTTTGCGCCCTTACAGAGGTAGCTGTCCGCTCTGCTGTGCCCCGTCTCCGCATGAGTTCCCTTGTTATGTCTGACTACTTTAAAAACGTCTCTTGATTTATTTTAGCCAGCCTCTCATCCAGCATGGCAGCCATTGTTATTAGGCCATATCCACAGCCAGAACTCATTCTAGAACAGGCTGGGATAGTGTCTTCCTTGAATCTTCAATCCCACAGTAATTATACCAGGTTCCTGTACTCGTGCTGTTAGAAATCCCACTTTATCTTTCTCCCTCTCGATAACCTGTCTGCCTCAGCTGAGTATGTGACAACTTACCGCTTTGTCTCCTTTCAGTTCTGACGGAGGAAAAGAGCTTCCCCCTCTTTTATCCCAGACTCACAAGGAGGCTACCATAAAACAGTGGTTTCCCTGCCCCTTCCTGGGTTTGAGTCTGCAGCCACGCATCTGACTTCTGTGCCCAACTTCCTTGCACCAGTGGTCTGACCCTGTCTTAATAATGCTTCCATACAGCCCATATCCAACACTAACTGTACATTTCCCATGGTGTGAGGCCCTTCCTGGCCACTGCAGCCGTGTCTACATTACTGTTTTATTTCTTCTAAAACCATTATTTCCTCGTAAGAATCTCTTTAGTTTCGTCAGGGAACTCAAAGCACACTTCCGCAAATAGAGAGCACCGGCTGCTCTTCCAGAGGGCTGGGGTTCAATTCCCAGCAACCACCTGGCAGCTAGCTGACAACTGTCTACAACTCCAGTTTTAGGGGGCCTGACACCCTCACACAGACATACAGACATGCAAAACAGCAATGAGTAAATTATTTAAAAACTATGGGTCTGCATGTGAGTGTGGGCTTGTGTGTGAAGTGCTTACTCATGGAGGTCAGGGGCTTTGGAGCTAGTTAGAGGTGGTTGTGAGCTGCCTGATGTGTGCCAAACCAAACTAGGAGATTTTTTTTATTATAACTCTATTTATTTTATTATTATTTTGTTGTTTGGTTTGGTTTGTATTTTGAGACAGGGTATCATTATAGCCCTGACTGCCTCCTTACCCCTTCCTACCTTTTAACACAGGCCCAGTTTCAAATGCGTGTTTCCAGGCTGTCTGCTATCTGGAGTATGTTTTCTATTGAGAACTTGCTGACCTCTACAATGACAAATACCATTTCTATTTCTGTTGCCCTGAGCCCAGCTACTGCTGCTGTGTCTCTCAAAATGACCTCTGAGGTTGGCATCTCCCAGGGCTACAAAGAAGATAAGAAAAACTGCCCCCCCAATAGCACTTTGGAAATTCAAAGCCAAGGAAAAAACTTTAAAAGGTCACCAAAGAAAAAGTACAGGGTATGGTGGGTAGGGGAGAGTCCAAATTATCAACTATCCTATACGTATTTGAAAAACCCATTTAAGGAAGATGTCAAGCTCGAAAGGAATCCAAACAAGAAAACTGACCGTGTGTGCATGTATGTGTGTCTTCACAAACACATGTGCATGCCTGTATGAGTGTTGCACACATATGTGTATGTGTGAGTACGCACACGCACGTGTGTGTGTGTGTGTGCACGCACAAACAGGATTCAGAAAGCCATGCATCTTAAAGCTAGCAGCATCATCCTCTGTCATGTCCACAACATAAAGTCAAAGAACAGAGAAGAAAACAGAGCAGGGCCTGAAAAGCAACCGACATGGAGAGAAAAACTGGGAAATACCTGTGGCGGGTTTGCACTGGGTGACTTATTAACCGTCTCCACTTTCTCTAAATCTGCCTCTAACTCTGCTTGGCTGAAGCTGAGATCTTTTTCTAGATTAGTCTGGTTCAAGAAAGAAAAGATGAGAAAGAATGTTTTAGTTTAGAGAAAAGGAGAAGGAATGGAAGGTTAAGTTTGAAAATGAGGGTTTTTTTTTTCCTTAGAGTCGTATTTTAATAGGGTTATGAAGGCCTAACTCAATCACAAGAACTCACTAGAAATTAGTCTACAGAGAGGCAAACAGAGAGAGCAATATTAGGCAGGCTCAGTGAAACCCTGGGTGTCAGAGCTTCAGACATCTATTCTACTTCGAATGAGAATTAAAATACCACAAAAACCTACCTGTGAGGACAGGCCTGCTTCCTCTGTGTCAGAGTATAGTGACTGTGACAAGAGTTTTTTGTTTTTAACTCTAAACATTAGTATATGTCTCACAGACTTCGTTAAATATAGTTTCATCACCAAGTCAAACAAGTTACTAAATTAAAAAACAAAACAAAACAAAAAAAAACAGATCTAAGAAAAGAACACAAAGCCACAACACACTCACGGCACCCAAAGCTAGAGGTCTAGCACACAGTCCGCGGAGGAGGCACGGGATTACCTTCCTATCCTCTCTAGGAAGGATAGAGCAGTCTCCAGGAGTATAGTCCCATATCTTTTTGGGAGGCTGACGGGAAGCAGAGGAGGAAATGAAGAAATGAGCATAAAGACATAAAGACAAACACGGGGGGGGGGGCTCAAACAAAGAGGGGCACGCTAGGAACCAGACTAGTACAGAAAGGTGAACTCAAAGCAAAGGGCTGGGACTCTGCCTGAGACACAAAGCTGTCCGCTCCCCAGGGACGGGGAAACCTGAAAGCACTAACTAGGAAATGTATTTAATTAAGTCTCAAGACTAAATCAATCCCAGAACCTCAATACTGGAAATTTAAATTAAAAGGGGGGGAAGCATCAATATAGATCTGAACAAATTAGAAGCTCTTCTTTTCACACAAAGACTGACACTGGAGAGTTTACATTTTTTAAATAGTCTCGACTACTGTAAGAAAAAAAATCATTGCATGTCAATAGATGTGTAACCTACAGACTTAGCCACTGGAGGGAAACCAGTACTAAAGGTGACTCTGGTTTGTACCACAGCACCCAGAGTGTGGTTCAAAGGTATCCAGAGTGGGAGTTCAAACAGAGCATGTGACCATTTCATACCAGCAGTTTAAGCGGCATGTAAGCTATCACTAGAGACACACCCCATCCTCCTCAGCCATGCTGCTTGCTCTTGGCCCCTTCATGGAGAATCAAAGAGATGGGAATCTGCCAGGAGAATCTATAGGCTTAACAAGAGTATGTGTGGAGTGAAAGCTATGCAAACTCCCAGAGACTTCTAACTCTGAACTTTTCTCACAGAAGTGATTCTCTGACTGTGACTATATACTCAAGATCTCCCAAAATATGACTTCTGGGAGATCAGAAACAGGAGATCATCAAGAGCTCCTAAGACAACAGCACACAAATTTCATGTCAATTAACTCTACAGAAGCATTTGAAGGGCTTAACATTTGAGAAACATCATCTTGAATTTGTGGCTAGAAACTGAATCAATTCTGTAGAAATTGGAGAGAAAGGGAGACTAAAAGGCCGGGGTGCTCATTTTCCCTGTAACGCCTCTCCAAAAGAAAGGCAAACGGACTCTGGCTGTGTTAGCTGACAGCAGCAGGTCCGTGTATATGAGTTTTGTGATAAGATCAGTGGTAACGCACCTGCCACTCATTCTTAGCACTTACTACATCCCATGGTTGTCTGGAAAGGGGGCTTTTTCATGTGTGATCTCTATTTTTTCTTACTTTCTTTGTCTCAAAATTCCATAAGCAATTGTCTACAAGTTAAATTTGCTTTGAATAAATCAACCACCTATCCCAGTGGTCCCTAGACTCTTGAATTATTTGTAATTTTGTGGCAACTTATAGGTCAACAATCAGGATCTTGTTGCAGTTTTCAGTTCTTTTTGAGTGACTTTAGGAAAGGAGGTTGGGAAAGAAAAAAACAGCTGAGCAACTGTCTGTACCAAAGTTCTAGTGGCTTTTACTCAGGAATAATGGCCCTAAGTTGGTGTGAGAACAACAAAATCAAAGTAGAGATGATGCCCTGTGTGAGTTGCAGGTGCCTTCTTTTCATGAATGGCTGGCTAACACGTCTTCCAAAGCGGCTTCCATGGTTTATGCCCTCCATACTCCATTATAATTAAACAAGGAGAGAAGGAAAAGTCCTCACTCTCCTGCTCCTTCCTCAACTCTGTTGGCTCAACTAGATAACAAGTCCACCCTGCGGACGTCTCAAACCATGTGTAGACATTCTCTCAGGGATGTTCCTAGGGAGATGGCCCATGTACTTTTGGCAAGTCTTCAAAAATTAAGGATATCATATATATATGCCCCCTACCCCAAGAGAAGGTATTATTTGACAAAAGGCCTGTATTCTCCATGTTTATATGAGGTAACTTACACAGTGTTTTGTAGAACTGTTAACTTAATCAAGTTATTCTCAGGACCTGCTTTCTAAAGGCTGGGGCTGAACTATTATCTAATACCAACAAGAATTGTTTATAGTGATAGATTTATGAAACATATTACTAGTAATGATTTAAAAGAAAGTCCCCTACCTTTTGCAAAAAGGTAGTATTTCAGATTAAACTAGTTTAGTTATTTGGTAGATGAGGGGATGACTAACCATCTGTAGATCCTGAAAGGGATTTCAAAAAATCATTGTCATGGATTCTGGAGCAAGCAATCCAAAACAAGTACCTCTTGCTTTCCGTGAGCACATCAACCACAGTGCTTTGGAGGGGACTACACCTATCAGTATGTTTTTGCAAGTGGAAAAGACTGGTGCGTCCAAATGGTAAACAGTAGAAAAGGGAGAGAGAAAGGAGAAGAAATGAGCTGTGCACTGTGCACCAAAGCTCTAAGGAGGGGAGAGAAAAGCTAAGTGCATTGAGCTAGATGCTTCCTCTCAGCTGTCCCTAGGTGGCGCTCGTCATCAACAACAGATGGGGCCTGGGAGGGGAGGCTATGCATGGAGGAAGGCCCAGAGGGGAGGACTACCCGTTCCTACAAGTAGAATGTAGACAACTGGGCCCTCCTAACTCGAAGACACCTGAACTTACAAGCTCAGAATCCTTAAATTAATTCAGCAACTCCAAAGCACAGCCTGACTTTCCATTGTCCTTTTCTTAATGAAAAATGCAAAGCACAGGATTCAACAATTTGCTGAACTATGAAATCAGTTCCTATCTGCAAACAAAAGGATCATCCGAGACCAAAACCAATGGTCAGAGTCTCATACACGTCTATTTGCTTTTTCTATGCCTCACTCTTGCACCTATGGACTCCTTTTGCAGTTATAATTGGGAATTCAAAGTAACTACAGGTTAAAAGTCCATCACCATGGTGGAAAGATGAGTTCAGATAATCCTCATGCTTAAAACTCATCTGGGTGCAGGACTAAGGAACTCCCTCCCTAAAGGCCAAAGTCAGTTTGTGCTGCCAATTCAGAAATAACTCAGGGAAGCTGCCAAACACTAAATTTTCTAGAATTCTATCCTCCATTCCAAATCCTGGAAAATGCTAGCACAACTCAGAGAAACCATTCCCTAAAGCAGCCTTTAACTGAGCTGGATTGGAGTTGTAGCTGCCCAGAGAAGCACCTTTTTTGGCCTGCTCAGATACCTGCCTCACATGTATGCTTTAAAAACATGATCAGAAGCACTGCGATGCTGGCCTTCTCGGTGATGCACTCCCATGCCTGTCTTCAGTATATCCTCAAGATGGTTAAAACAGTGACTGGATGGCAGAAAAAAATGCCATATTTGTTGGGTGTGGCAGAGGGAGGTCCTAGGACAAGTGATACCCTGGTCATGCTCTCTGGATGTTCCAGGAAGGTGTATCCCAGAGCTCACTGTCCCTTCCCGTAGGAAAACCTACAGACTGTAGTAAGATAAGACAACCCGACTATTGACAATCATGGCTGCTCCCACTACTGAATCCCTCACACAGACCTGATTCCGTAGCAGCAACAATGCACCAAGAGCATTATTTCACAAGGTGTATAACCACTGAAGCTATCACACTTACCGGTTTCCCAAACTCCAATTCCGAAAAGAATTTATACCAAGGTTCATTCTTTAAATCTATCTCTTCTGGGCTTATATCCCGACTCTATAAGGGTTGGTGACAGGGAGATGGAAGAAAGAGAAGGATAACATTATGAAAAGATTACACAGGAACAGGCCAGTAGAGATGCAGTGGCTTTGAGTTACACAGCACCTGCTTCAATGGCAGTGACCGTCCAGTTTGACTGACACCAGCAAAAACAGGGAGGGGATGTGTTCATAAAAACAGGGAAACTGAGGTAGGGAGCCACGAGGGATTCATTTTGAGTCTCCCAGCAGAGGCAGACAGACTGGAGATGGAGGATTCGGCACCATACTGCGACTCTTCACCACAAAGCTACATGTGGGCACAGTAGTCCTCAATCATTTCAGCACTGGAGAAAAGAAAGCCCTTATCTCCTCTTGTAAAGAAATATTAGCTGTGAGCATATAAAGTGGTGAGTACACCAAACATTCAGCATCTATGTCAGAATAAAACACACAGTGTTTACGGGCTAGGACAGTTTTAGTACTTATTTGCAAGGCTGCTTTAAGGTTTTCAAAAATAAATACAAATAACGACGCTTTAGAAAAGCCAATTGGTTAATACTGCATCTTTAATGGCACATGAGTAGGTGAGATACCATGTGTCATACACAGCAAAGTGAAGAATGATGTAAGTCAAAATAGAGGACACAAGTGAAAAACATTTTAAACAAGCATTCGTGGGGAATGAGTACAGACAGAGTATAGCCTGTGTTCTAACAAATAAATGTTAAAGGATTGAGAAAAAAATTAAGTGACAGGAAAGCTGAACAAGACAGAGAACAGAACGGGGAAGAAACTTCTGGGTTGCGTGCATTCCAAAGTTAGATGCCTCACTTTTACATTGCACTAAAAATGTGTCACTGAGATTGATAATTTGATTCTGTGATTTAATATTTCATCTGATATTATTAAAGTTCGGGCACTTTATCTAGGGAATACCAACTACTTCTGGAAAACACTAAAAATGGACGATTAGGAGTCAAACCAAGTTTCCTAATGAGGGGAGTTATTATACTCATATGGTGCAGGAGTGTTTGATATTCAAGGTTTGCTTAAATTCTTACGTTCTTAGTAACTCTGAAAATTACAAAAGATTGAGATGTGACTTTTCTATAACAATTTGAAATACAAAAATGTACACGGTTTCTTCTGAGATTGAAGATATCACACAAGAAACTTAGCTGCCTCCTGGCACAGGAGAGCATACTGCCAGCCCCACCTACAGGCCATCAGTGCTACAACATTTCACAGTAGTCCTCCCTGGAAGCATTGGCGCCACAGACTGAAAACTGTCTTAGTGATTTTTACCAAGCCCTTCTTCCTTAAACATCTATACCATTCTTGCTGTTACAGGTGGAAGATACGGGCACCTGTCAGAGACTTTCTTTAACTGAAATATGATTTGAAACTAGAGGGGAATACATGTTGACTCCATCCTCTTGCTTCTAGATCAGTTTACTCTAAAGTTTCCATCTTGAAGGAGAAGACCTGCCCATTCAGATATTAATTGTGCCTGCTAAATGTGTGTGCGCGCGCTTGTGTGTGTGTGTGTGTGTGTGTGTGTTTGCATGTGTGGTCACATGTGTGTACAGGTGTGTTTACGTATCTATGCACATGTATGTAAATATCAGAGAATAACTTTAGGTGCTGTTCCTTAGGGACCAGTTACCTTGTTTTCTGAACCAGGGGTTCTCATTGGCTTAGGGTTTGCCAATCAGGCTAGGCTGGCTGGCCAGCAAGTCCTAAGGGATCTGCGTGGCTCTGCCTCTCCAGTGCTGGAACTGTAAGTACAAGCTACCAAGCCCAGCTCTTTTACTCTTTTTCTGGGAACTGAACTTGGGTCCTCTAGCTGTTATCTCTCCAGCCGAGCTTCTGCCTTCATTTGGTGAAACGAAGCTCAATGTCCACAAAGACAAACCATTAGCAAATGATGGCTTGAAAACATTGGCAATGCTACAATCTGGAGTGATGAATTTTCATGAAACCTACTTCATATTTGTTATTTTTACAAAAACTATTTATAAGCCGTTCCCTGGGAATAGGTTAGGCTTTTTTTCATAGAATGTACAAATATACCAACTCTTTTGGAAGACTGCCTAAGAGTTATGATATTTACAGCCCTGAAAGAATTAAATCATTTTATTCTTGAATGCCGTTTGCAGAATGCCAAAGCTAATGCTGAGTGAAGAGCAGGTTTTGTTAAATAACTTGGGCCCAAAGTGTCAGTTCTTAAAACTGCCCAGACATAAAGGAATAAAAGGTACTGCCAAGGGCACTCACACCTGCATCAGTCTGCTGGGCATAAATGCTCAGAGCATCCAATCAAGGAACAGACTAACAGTGAACACCCTTCTGGAAGCAGAGGAGCCCGGTTCCCATAGCCATGGCTCTTCCACAACGCCAGGCTCTGGTCTTCCCTGCTGTGGGCTGCTCTTTTTCTAGCTTGATAAAAATTCATGGAAAGGGTAAGAAGCTTGCCAGGAAAATGTCATCTCCTCAAAGACAATGTTTTGCTTACATAGGAGCCAAAGACCAGCTTCAGATTTCAATTAAGTAAGTCATCTGAACATGGTGTGTTCACTTACACCGTGGGTTACAGGTTTTGTGGCTCTTAGACCCATACTACCCATCTTGGCCATTATTACCAGGCACTCCAGCAGGTTGGAGGGCCAGATAATATTTCTATTCACAAATGAAAACCTTGAGATTCAAGAAGGTTAATTGTCTTCTATGCCTGAAGGCACATAGCAGAGTCAAGACTGGAGGTCAGATCTTCTATAGCTGGTTCAGCCAGCACTCTAAAGCAGGACTAGCGGCCAGCGTGAAATGCCAGAGAAAGAACTCAAGAGAGGCAAATCCACTTGTTCCTACTTCCACGTGCATTCTCTGCCTGTCATTACTATCTCAATGTCTGCCCTTGGCTGCCACACACCTACAGAATAGGAACTCCAACATCTATGCCAAAGCCTGGCATGGAGAAAGTTATTTTTTTCTATGTATTGGTTAAATTAAGTTCATGTCCCATAGGAAATTACAGAAACAAATATATATGTAAAGTCTAGACATTTCTGATAAAGCAGGGACCAACCAACACCTCTCTAATTCCAAGACCAGGGAGAAAAGGTTGACTTATACTTTGATAGGGAGGTGAGACGTATTTAGACCTTTGTGAATCGAGTCACCTGAGGATTCAGAAGGTAATGTTTCACGGGTCTGGGTAGTATGAGCATGCTCCAAGGCAAGAGGCACTTCCATAGCCTATTAACATTCTTCCTGATGGTAACAGTTGGCTGTGTCTGGGCCTAGCCCTTTAATTGGCAGAATTAAGTGTGCAACTCAAATGGAAGAAAAAGTGGGATTTTTTTTCTGTCTTCATAAAGAGACAAAGCAAACTAAAATAAAATCTAACTTAGAATCTGTATCTGTCACCAGTTTACATTTACTAGTTAATGAAATGGTTCTTTAGTTCTCTTCAAAAGCCATATGAATGAGGGTGCCACTCAAATCCTAGTCAGCCAGATGCTTCATACCAAAAGGCAAGGCTCACACAGAAACTCACATAGCAGCTTTTCTGTTCACGTGATAAAAATAGCAGGACTAAAAAAGATCAAACATAATAGACCAATTCAAGCCTTGTCAAAAAATTAAGATTCAACCGAAATTCCTCTCTAAAATCAACATCTCTTTGGAAAGACAGAGCTAGCTGGGGTAAAGGGCACTGAATTAAACTGTTGGGCAGATGCCCACATGGGGCTATGGACGGGCCTCAGGCCTGGAACACACAGAGGAGCGCCTGTACTGAAACAGCAGATGGTGTTTTGCTATCCTTGTGGACAGTCTCCACCACTCCCTAGAGGGTCCTCCATGAGGCACTGTGGGGCACTTCCCAGCATTTATAAAAATAATGCCAATGATCCCAAGAACTGTGGTACAAAAGAGGAAAACAAAATAATGTTGTTTTCCTAGTTCTACACAGAGGTAAAATCACTGAGACCAAGGGGAAAAAGTGGAAACAAAGGCAAAATTAAGAAAAAGGGTGTCTGCAGTAGAAGCAGGGACAATCTATGAATGATCATTGCCCAAATAAAAGCACCCAAAGTCCTCCAGAATCCCTGAAATCACCTGACTGTATTAATGCACAATGGAAGCCAGTAGGCTAATTGCTAAGGAGTGTGGCTTTCTTTCCAGGAACCAGGTTGCCATGTACACTTATTATGTGGGGTACTTCCTGCAGGCAGAGAACCCTCGATGAAGCAGGGAATAGGAAGGAAGTCCTTCGGCTTGTCTTGTCTCTCACGGGCTGCTTAAAATACCTGTTGTGTCCAGCAAACACTGAAGAATGTCAACTCTGAAAGCATTTCTGTGAACTGGTGACCTTTTTCCTAATTAAAATTACTCCAGCATTTACAAAGGCATCATATTTTCATTTCAGTAAAAGTCAAATCAATTACCCCTTAAAAACATGTAGAACAGCAAGCTAACAGCTCTGAACGAAGCCAGAATCCTGTGTAACCTCTCCATCCCACGGTCCAGCCACATTGACACAACCCTGGAGAATCTCTTTAACCATTTATCAAAATTTGAAGCAGCTTTTTCTAATGAAGGGTGAATGAAAGAGGACATGATTGGCAGATATGGAACTAATCAATCTGTAAAGCCTTCCTGTTCTACAGAAGTGTTTACTTTTCCACGTTGGCCTGGAATTTCCACACCATTTCCCCACTCAATGTTCTAGAAATTTGAATTTGTGTAAGGGACAAGAAGCCAAGCTGATTTGACAAGTTACTTCTCAACACCGTGCCAATCAAAGACAGAAGACCTAAAACATAAAATGTAACAGATGAGGGCTTTACCCCAAGTTACATCATTCTATTAGTTATTTATCTTTGAATGATTTCAATGCTAAACTGGTCATTTCTGTAAATTCTATCCATTTCAAACAAAAGTTGTCTACAAAAAGGAAATACCTTTAATCAATAAGCCTAACATAGTAATAAGATTTTTTCCCTAAAAAAACAGAAGTAAGATCAATCTTTGTTAGTAGAAAATTAAAATGAGTTAAAACCATAAACCATGCACAAATGGAACAACAGAGCCACAAAACAAAACAAAACATTAAAAAAAACACGTTGTTTAAAAGCAGACTCGGGAGTCATTTTATGAAGACCTGCAAAAATGCAGAGGGTGGAACTACTTCAGTTTTTGTCACTGTTCTAAAGGAAACAAGCCTATCTCAAGTGGGGGAAGAATGTGTTCCAGCTACACAATGCATCCAAACTAGACAGCATGGGCAGAGGGAAACAAAAGAACGTTCATATGCACATTACCATCTTCTCATTGGTCAGAACGGAAGACTTGCCCGGCTGATACTCGTAAATGCTTTTGGGCTCTGCTCGGTATTTTCTCGTATCCACTTTCTTATCTGGGGGCTCCCAGTCGTTTCTGTAGAAGAAAAAAACCCGTTTTCACGAAAGTGGCACCAGCTTCCCACGCAGTCTGAACCTGGTTGGCTGTAGTCTTAAAGAATTTTTATATCCAAGGCATAAAACTGGAATCAAGGCTAGCAATTTAGCCATACTAGTCTGCTTCTCCAAACAACCCATTTAAATCTCCGTCTTGGCTTTATACAGGGCATGAGGTACCCAGTGCCCAAAACCTGGTACCAGGAGGTGGAGATTGGAAGCGAGAGGGGGGAGGGAGGAAAACGCAGCAAGTCTTGTCCTGGAAAAAGTCTTTCTCCCTGCTCTGCTCTTACGACTTTAACATTCCCCAAACTCGCCTCAACTCCCACACAATGTACAAATACAGGTCCTCAAGCTGCCTGACTGTGGTTCCAACCCTGGCGACCCAGGTGATCCTAGTACTTTACAAACTCCCAGAGCATTAGCTTATCTAACTGGAAGACCACTGCAGCAGTGTGCCCTCAGTAAACACCAGCTGTGCCGAGTCCTTTGCTATTCTGCATCTCAACCTACTATGCACTAATCTCAGCTTGGGTTAAAGCTTTGTTTTTTAAATTTATTCTCTGTCTAGGGGTTGGTTAGTTTTATGTCAACTTGACACAAGGTAGAGTTCTCTGAAAGGAGGGAACTTCATTGAGAAAATGCAGATCCAGCTGTAGGGCATTTTCTTAATTAATAATTGATGGAGGAGGGCCAGCCCTTTGTAGTGGTGCCATCCCTAGGCTGGTGTTCCTGGGTTCTTTCTAAGTAAGTAGGTTAAGCAAGCCACGAGGAACAGGCCAGTAAGCAGCTCCCTCCACTGCCTCTGCAGCAGTTCCTACCTCCAGGTTCCTGTCCTGCTTGGGTTTCTGTCCTGCTTTTGGCAATGAACTGTTATATGGAACTGTGCGTGAAATAAACCCTTTCCTCTCCTGAGATGTTTTGGTCATGGTGTTTCATCACAGCAACAGTAACCCTAACCAAGAATCTGTGTGTGTGGTGTGCATGCACACATTCATGAATACATGCCAGGGTGCACATCTGTAAGTCAAAGGTCAACTGTGTGGAGTCAGTTCTCCTCCCATCTTTATGTGGCTTCCAGAGATCAAACTCAGGTTAGGCGCTAGTGCCATGTACCTTTGCCTGTTGAGCCCTCTTGTCAGCTCTGGTCCCGATTTTCAACCTTACACGTAGATATGGAGTTTCAAAGGATACGTGACTCTTTGGAAAGTGTCTGCCAATGTTTTATGCAGGAACATTACTGCACTTTGTGCTGTGGTTATATTTTGCTTTTCACGAATGGTTAAAAACTTCTAGAAGGTAGAGCAATGATTTGTGTATTTTTCTGTAAAGTTTAATTCAATCTGCACAGAATGTACCCAGTAGGTACTTAATGAAAACACCTATAAAGAATTTCTGGGTATATCCAGACTTTCTTTCAGATTCATTATCAGATTTATCGGGTAGATGTGTTAGGCACATGTGGGCTTTTAAAATAGCTACTCACTTGTTTGTGGAGCTTTGGAGACATGAAACTGTATGTGAATTTAAGAAAAAATATAAATTTCATCTGCACAAACCTTTTAGATTGTGAAAATTGGCAGAAATTGGGGTCAGAAGACACACAGGACACCTGTCCAGGTAACAAGAGACTATTACTTCATAGGACATTTGTCTCCATAATACATGTTATATCAGTAAATAGACACTACAGAATACAGCTGGGTTTAGTGTTATAGTCTTTATTATGAATATGTAAATGATGTTAGTTCTAATTTAAGATTTTTATTATAATAGAGCCTGGTGGCACAGGCTTGTAATCCCAACTACTTATAGACTGAGGTAGGAGGGTTGATAGTTCAAGCCCTGCTTGGGTTACAGGGCAAGTTCAAGGTCAGCCTGAAAAACTAATTGAGACACTGTCTCAGAATAAAAAGTGAAAAAGGAGGGCTATGGACAAACTCTGTGGCAGAGCACTTACTTGCCTAGCATTCAGGAAGGCCCTAGGTTCAATACCTAATACTACAAACTTTTTCTCTTGACTAGATAGAAGGTTATAATAATTATAGTCAACAGTAATTATGCCCATGCTATGAGCCAGGCCCTAATAGGAAAGTCAACTACAATAGCTTATTTTATCCTTGCAACACTCTCACAGAGGAGTCATGCTATTTTTATCCTTATTTCAAGGATAAGGATATGGAAACTCAGACTAAGTCACGGCTGACAGGTGACAGTGTAGAGATTCAAGTGTCGTTCCTAACAAAGGCTCCTGGGATGCAGACTCTGGGAGGCATGGATGAGCATCTAAGGGACCACTTACCTCTCTGGGCTGGACTTAAGTGAAGACGAGCGGGCTGGGAGGGGGAGTGTGGCTGACCTCTTCACTACTTTCTCCCCGTCGATGTAGTTCATCTCACTTTTTGAGCGAGGCACAGAAAGGGGAGACTTTGCTGGAGAGAAGTGCATATAAAATACTTTAAGCTTAAATGAAAACTCAACCTGAAGATGTCTCTTCTACCATCCTCCCCTCCTCCCCACAAGCAGGGGCTTCAGTCACTTACTGTCTTCAGAATAGGAGTATCGAGGAGAGTGCAGGTCAGAATCATCATCTAGTGAACAAAAGATATAAAATCAGGGGGGAATAGACTCAAGTGAGAGGTCCAGGGTATACACCAAGCCCCACATTCACAGTTCTGCATGACATCCAGCCATACCAGGGACCCAGCAGGGAGGGGACTCAAGCCTGGGGCTACGTCACACAGACTATACAGCAGAGCAGTGAGGCTTGCAAGAGCCCATCAGATCCAATACTGCCCAGAAGAAACTGCATCTCCCTGAGGGGGAAGTGGGAGTTGAGATGGATCAGTCTTCCCTGTTGAGCACCATGGCCTCTTTCCAAGGCTCATGGCTACTACTGGATAGGAAAAAGAGGTTCAAAGAATGTGGTTGCTAGCTCCCCATTGCAGCTTTGACCTGTTTTGTATGTTCTTCAGACAACACAACTGGCAAAGAGGTTGAACAGCTAACAAAAGAGCTCAAGAAAACCCACATCATAATCTGGTTTGATTACACCTCAGCTTTGCTTGGTGATTAGATTTCTCAAGACCCAATACTGCCATGGCTCTGTGAAGGAACCACTCAGGGTGATGCTCTGTGAAGGAACCGCTCAGGGTGAGCATCTACACTGAGTCTGCAACAAGTCCAATTCACATGAATTTCTGTGGTGTGTGATGGGTTATGCAGGTGTCTGTATACACATCCCCAGATAAACTGAGTACTGGGAAGGGGTGTAATTTTCAAAGTAAAAATCAGATGACAAGCCCATTTACAGTAACAGATCTGTCCCAAGTACAACCTATGACATCCATGATAATCCTTTCTAAACATTTCTTCTCGGGAGTGCCTGATAGTCTAATGCCTTGCTCATCTGAATTCAGGATACATGGATCTAGAATGAAGACCCAGTTCCCTCCATTAAAAGATCCGTAACACTTTTTTAATAAAGCACATGACCTAAGCAGCAAAGTCAAGTCAAGGGATTTCATATGCTGTATTAATGACAATGTTAATCAAGCCCTTGTTTCTAGGAAAATCAAGTATCAGATCAAGAATTAAAAGAATGGTTTTTTGTTTTATTTTGTTTTTTGAGGCAGGGTGAAACAGCTCTGGCTGTCCTAGAACTTGTTCTGCAGACCAGGCTGGCCTTGAACTCATGGAGATTCACCTACCTCTGCCTTCCAAGTGCTGGAACTAAAGATGTGCATCACCACTGCCTGGCTCAGAATGTTTTATGAAATGTAAGCAAAGCTAACATTACCATTATTTTCAGTACAGTGGTATTCAAAGACAGCTTCTACCTTTGTGGACCTTTACTTCTCCCCAGTCCTGTCTGTCCCAGGTGCCCTTCACCAAAAAACCAGACAGGAATCCACCACAAGGTACCCTGTCCTCCTTCCAGCTCCCCTTGCCTTTATAAGAACTGGTCAGCACCACGGTTTGACAGGGACTACAATTCTTACCAACACATACAACCCTTACTTCTTCAGGGAAGGGAGGGATGGGGTGGGGCGGGGTGGGGAGGGTCTTACTATGTTGCTCAGGCTTGACCTCTAATGTACAATCCTCCTCCTCAGTCTTCTGAGTCCTGGGGATACAGGCATGCATTGCCACAAGCCACCATCCTTTCACTATAAACTGAGTATGTTAACTCTATTTGTGTTACCTTCTGAAAATAGGGCAGTGGAAAGATGAAGTGGAATCAGAAATGTATTTTTGGAAAAAGTGTTCTGAAGAATTTTGTGTTACTGGCTTTTTGTTTGTTTTGGGAGTTTTTTTTTGGTAAGGGACTTAATTATGTATTCATAAAGTCCTATAGTATCAAAGAATACCAAAAGTCAGCTTTCGCAGGGCAGTGGTGGTACATACCTTTGATTCCATCACTCAGGAGGCAGAGACAGGTAGATCTCTGTAAGTTCAAAGCCAGCCTGGTCTACACAGCTAGTTCTAGGACGGTAAGAGCTACACAGAGGAAATCCTGTCTTGAAAAACCAAGATAGATAGATAGATAGATAGATAGATAGATAGATAGATAGATAGATAGATAGCTTTGGCTGAGGACACTTGACTAGAAAAAAACAGTGCCTGCCCCAACCCAAGCTAACATAGGGAATACACTGCTTTAAGCCAAGCCTAATGTTTTAGCTCAAAACTCTACCCCTCTTTGGCTCACAGAAGATGGCACCCTTACAGCAGGTGGTGGGAAGGTCAGTTCCAACTATCACAAGGCTACTAAAACTAGAAGCAAAGTATGGGTGCAGGGTAGCATTAAATACGTTTTAATGTTAAGTTTTAAAAACACTGTTTCCTCTAGATATTTCTAACGTCAAATTTTAGAAGGCTTATCAGAAGACACTGAGAAATAGTTGTTATGTGGTGGGGAAAAACAGCCTAAGGAGCCTGACTGAAAAGGAGAGGAAAGCAAGATGGGGATGCGGGCGGGGCAAGAGCAGAAACCAAGTGCTGATTCTCTCTCTCTCTCTCTCTCTCTCTCTCTCTCTCTCTCTCTCTCTCTCTCTCTCTCTCTCTCTCTCTCTCTGTGTCTCTGTCTGTCTCTCTGTCTCTGTCTCTCTCTGCCCCCAACACCCCCCCTCTCCCTCTCACAGAGATCCATCTACCTCTGCCTCTCTAGTGCTCGGATTAAAGGTGTGCCATCACGCTAGGCTGTGGTTGATAATCTTTATGCTGGAAAAGGAGTCTCATCCACCCTAAGCTACACACGGCAGAGTGCCTTTGTGTGTGGGTTTCACTTCTCCAGTGTTCACTGGACTTCAACATGGACATAGGTTTAGGAACTCTATGAAAGCATACCCATGCCAAATAGATTAATCTGAACAACTTCAGCAATTATGACCAGGTCCACAATTATTTTTGTTACTTTTCTTATAAATCTAACAAAAGAAAACTTTACTTTGTTTTATGAATGAAAATAACAACCCAAGCTCCCATTATTAACTGCTTAATAATAACAAAAACTAGTTATAACAGAGGACATAAACCTCCCCATTTTATAAAAGAGAAGACCAGGGCCCAAGGAAGCTAAGAAAAGCTGCCCTTGGTGACACGGGAGGAGAGTCGCTTCAGCCCCGGGACAGGGTGGCCATTACTTACTACCTTCCACTTCACCTTCATATCTCCAATCTTGGGCAAGAAGACTGAAAATTGCTTCTGTTTTTTTAATCATAGAAGAAGCAAAAAGAGGTGTTATGCAAAACCTAAGGACACCGAAGGCCAAGCCATCTCCAGCCTGGAAGCCTTTGCTCTATTTTTTTCAACACCCGCTCTAGGAGACGCTTAGGCAAGCCTTCAGAGTCACTCTGCCGCATTCACTTGCCCCTGTTGGTCTCCAGAGATAACATTGCTAAAGCCTGCACTTGCTGTTGTTTGAAACTTTCTCCTGGTAAGCAAGTCCACAATGAGGAAGTTGGGTATAGTTAGAATAATCAAGGACGGGAAAGCTAAGTATAAGGCCATCCTTCAACCCATCTGACTAGAACTAGTCAAACGGTGTACTATAAATGTGCATGTGTTTAACCATAAGTACACAAAGAAAAACCTTTCTCAAGTCTTCTATGAACTAGCGACACAAAGCCTACCATTGCATTCTCCAAGGGTTCTTGACAATAATGCCACGGGGACTCAGCTGAGCTGGCATCTTGTGATTCCTGCTTGTGATGGAACCACATGCTATCTTTGCCCCTTGGGACACCAAGCAAATTGACATCAAACCTTGCCACAACCACTAAGAACTTCCTATGCCAACCATTCCAGGAAGCCTGAACATTACACAGCACACACAAGGTGAACAACTTAACTCTGGTGCCTTGAAGGCCCCTGAGGACTCTGGTGTTGACACACCAACAGTTCTCCCTAGGCTTTGGCAGTCTGGCCTGAGTAGCACAATAGCTAGCCCATGAGCTGCCAGGAGCCGCATAATTGCCTTCTCAAACACAAGAACCACGTTACATGAATTTCTAAAAGCTTTCTTCCAGAGTTGATTTTGCTGTTGCTGTTTAGAATTTATACAGTTCTGAAAGCCAACTGGAGAGATTGCTGGACCAAACCATTTAAAGCTCTATGTAACTGACAAAACGGGATGCTTAGTCAAGAGCAGCATTCATAGAACCACAAACTGTGTGTCATTAAATCTCCAGTTAGTGCTTCATAGGTCTTTAAACCTAAAATTATTTCTGTGATAATAACAGCTCACTTTAACACCATCTTATGCCGTCATTCAACATAATTCCTTCTGAGGCTTCACTCCAAGTGCTTAGCAAGAACAAGGATATAAGGGGGAAGTACACACCCCACAGAAAACGGCCAAGGAAGAGGAGACAGACAGAGTCTGGGGAGGCAAAGAAAAGGCAAGCAAAAGGCTGCAAGGAAGCCAAGTCTAGGGGCTTGTGGGAAGTCACAGATTGTGTGTCTTGGTTAAAGGCTGTCAACTATTAAAGGATGGAAAACAACGGCCACAAGAGAGTGGAGAGAAGCTGCAGAAGGCATACCCCTAAGAAAGAATTCTGAGAAGTGATTCGGAAATGGGAAAGAAACAAAGTAAGAGAAACAGCCTGGAGGGATCCATGGGCTAATGGGACCCACAGTCTGGAGGGACCCACGGGCTAGAGAAGGCTCACCATTCCCATCTTCATGCAGCCTTCTGGGTCCCGAGGTGGGAAGGGGATGGATGCTTCAGTTCTTAACTATGCTGCAGACCAAAGACTTCCGAACATGCTGGGCGGAGACCTTCTGGGCAGTCACATAAGGAGAACAAAGGTGACTGCCACAAGCCGCCTGGCCCCTCCCATGGGCAGGACTAGCAAAAGTTTGGGGCAGGAGGCATAAGTTAGCCAAGCATCCTCACAACAGAACAACTCACTCAAACTCAAGCAAAATAAGGCTATTCTTAGAAATCCTGCACAGCTAGGAAAGCTATTTTCACTCAATTCTATCTGTGCCTGAGAAAACTGCCTTCTGCAAGCCTTGCCTTAGGGCAAGCTGGGGCAGGAGTGAGGAAACACACAAGACAGACCCCTGAGACACCACAACCCAGAGATGTTTAGAAGTGGCACCATGAGTCACAGCAACAGAACAGAGCGTGGCAGTCTCAACCGCCAGCTTGAAATGGTGCCAGTGGAATTCATGAACTAGAAGGAAAGCTCTCTGACTTCACCCCTGTGGCTCATGGGTCCTCAGGTCATGGATCATGAAGTAGCCTATCAGCTACTTGGCTCTGTTGCAGATTTGGGGACACTGTGTAAAAATATCTTGTTTTCTTGACATGGAATGTGCCAAGTCAGCTGTCCTTACAAGGCCGGAGTTTTGAATCTCTATTCCTCATGCCAGTCCTGTATTCAAATTCTCTAATTGCATCTTGGCAAGTATCTTGGTCCTTTGGGAGGGGGTGTTTTGAGGAAGGTATCTTGACATTTCAGTAGGTCTGTCATGGTCCCATCGCTTGGGGAGCTTTCCTAATCACATGTTCCCAGATAGATCCTAAGAGACAGTGGCTCAGCAGCCCAAGGCAGGACTGACTCAATAGAAGCTGCTACAAGTTATCAGAGAGCTCTTGGTCAGGAAGGTATAACCAAGTACACAGGGTCTATCAGGAGGGGAAGGATCAGCAAAGCAAAGACCCGTGTTCAGGGTCCCACAGACCTTCTTACCATTTCCTGTGTAAGTTTGTACATGCTACCTTACCTCCCCAGGCACTTTAGGCTCATCTGGTGGGTGGCTAGAGGGATGAAAATGAGGTCAATGGCGGCGATGCGCTCAGCACAGAGCCTCATACTGTACACCACAGCTTCTAAAACGGTGGCTGGGGACCACTTAACTGAGTGTGGGGGTGTGTGAAAAATCTGGAATCAGTAAAAAGTTTTTAAAACATGGAATAACTGAAAATTAATTCAAAATCAAAGGTAACATTTCTGGCACCCACTCATGCACCAGGCAGCTCCACTGCAACCTTGATTCTGAACATGTAATATGCAGACTGCGCACTGCACACGGCATCAAACTACACAACCCCAAGGTTGCCTGAAACACTCTAGCTCAGACTGAACTGCAGCGTTTCGACTGCACAGAGAAAGGTTTCTGTTTTTTAGACTCGCAATGGTTTAATTACACTTTAAATACTTTCCTGTCATCATTCTTCAGTATCTAAGTGTCAAATATGTCTGTGTTAGGATTGTATATAATATGAGAATATTTGACTGTAAAACTTGACTTGCCGACTTGGGTTTCATTAAAAGAAACTGTTAACTGACACGAGTTTATGACAGAATTTCCGAAATGGTTCCAAACACACTCTGTTATTTTGGACTACTAACTTATGTGATTTTACATTCTCAGTACTGATTACTATAAAATCAAAATGGTGATCAACTATGGAAAACAGTAAAGGTGGTTTATGTTCTTTAGTACTAAATGTTCAGCTAAGATTTAACTGTTTGTACAAGTAAACTAGTGCTGGGTGTGTGGTGCACTTCGTTAACCCCAGCACTTGAGGGGTAGAGGCAGGCAGATCTTTATGAGTTTGGGGCCGATCTGATCTATATGAGTTCCAGACCAGCCACAGCTACATAGTGAGACTCTGTTTCTAAACAAATAAATGGTAAAGTCCATGTATACTGAAGGATTATTTTAGAATACATTTCTTTATGATTTATTATCAGTAAATGTTTGGTATGCATATACTTGAAGAAGCGTTTCTCAGGTGAAGAGGGATATAATGGAAATGTTTAAACAGATCTCGTGTCAGGTAGAAGTTCAGTAAGAGCGTGGCAGTCACCACACTGCTGTCCCTTAAAGAGAACTTGGGGGAGGGGGAAAGGCTACCTTTCAGAGGAAAGTAGTGGGTGTAGGGTAACACCAAGCTGCCTTAAGTATTATTAAAGGCCCAGGCGGCTCCTTGCTGTAACATACAGGCTTATTTTTTAAAAGTACATTTAAACCTCATTAAGACATGGCCGTCCTGTTTATCTTTCAGCATCTGCCCAGGTTACATGCTCACTCAGGGAGAAGGAAAGTTTCTAAACTGGTATAAACACTTGCTCACAGGCCCCACTGTTTAGGACAATCAGCTTTGAGATACTTACAAGTATCTTCTTTAAAACAAAACAAAAAAACTACTGTGTAGACAGACATACCAGCCCTCAGGCAGGCTTTCGTAGGCTTCTTACAGATAATCCTACTTCCAGATTCTGAATTACCAGACTACAAAACAATAGCAGCATCAACAGGACTACCCCGGACCATGAGACCTGTAACTCTAACTTCTAGGTCCTCGAAGGGCTGAACTCCCCTCCCTTCCTCTTAAAGGGTCTCACTGTGTGGCCCTGGCTAATCTGGAACTTACTATCTAGCTCAATTCAGCATTGAATTCATAGCAATTCTCCTGTCTCAGCCTCCTGAGCACTGAATCACAGGCATGCACTTCTACTGTCTCAATTTCTCAGTGCATGTTAACAGCTATGGCAGAGACTGCATTTGGTGCTGGTCTGTGTGCAATGTGCTACCTGTGAGGAGTGGCACCAAGGACAGAGCTAAGGTGGGCTGCTGGCACTCACAGGCATGCACTGGTGGTGCTCAGACACCATAAAAACCATGAATCCAGGAAGCCAGAAAACCTCTTGAACAACCACCAAAAAAGCCCAGCAATTTTTTATAATGTTCTAACTCATGTGTTTTTCACATTTGTAAAAAGCCTTTATCTAACTGAATACATCAGCAATATGCTAGACATGTCATCTAGGCAGGGTGGGGGCGTGAGACAGAACCTACCCTATTTTTAAAAGATCTCTAGGGAAGACAATGTCCTCAAAACGTGTGTTAAAGTGTAATTATCTTCATTATTATGAATTTTTATGTTCAACTTAATTTTTTTAACCTTTTAATTCTTTAAGGCCATTTCTTCCTTTTACAGTTTCTGAAAACATTGTGTGTATACACAGACATATACATGCATATCTACTTCTAAATATGCGTGACAAGCTGTCTTGCCTTCCCTTACTGCTTATGTCTCTAGGTAAAAAAGCCCTACTTCCTCTTGTGCCAAACTTCACATGTAACAAAAAACAGACCCTACTGTCAGCCAGAGTTACAAGGTGTAGTGTGACCAGTGACATAAGACCTTGACATCAGGTCATGAAATACTGCCTTGAAATCACAGCCAAGAAGATGAAGGAAGCCATGGGCCCTGCCTATGGCAGGCTTCGGGCCATCTTCCAATCCCATGGGAGTAGCAGGATTTCTCCAAGATGCTTCCCCTCACTCACTTTTCACAACCTTCTTCGATACCTGTACTCCCCCACACCGCATCTCCCAACAAAAAGAGAATAACTCCAGGATACATGGATAGCTGTTGTCCATATCAGGTCATATTCCCATCCAGCTCTTCTATGAAATATTTCCCAGTTTGACCCAAATCTTTTCAAGGGTTACCATACCTCACCAAAACTGACACTTAAACTTATAAAGGTCTTCAGGAATTCCCAATCAAAAAGAGACACCCTGAGAACCCATGCCCAGAGGGGCCCAGTGATCACTGGGGGCAGTGTGGGAAACTGGTAAGCTTCCATGGTTGACAGCTGGCGGGTCTCCCTCCTCAGCTTCATGAAGTCACTGCCCAGCCATCAGGATACACTAAGTGACACCCCAGATACCAGGCCTTGGGTGGTTGATACAAACAGCTTTTCTCAGAGCCCCACACATCCAGAGCATAATGGAAGCTACCCCCTAAGCTATGTAAACCCTTAGGGGCAGGGATTAAAATGCCACGTGGAGAAACCGCCGTGAGACAACATCACAAAACAAAAGGTTAGAGGGAAGCTTTCCTTAGTTATTAGCAAAACCCCCAAGGTGGGAAATAACAGCACCAGTTCAGAGCAGGCACACCATCTCCTGTAATTACCTTCAGACTTAGGACTAGGAGTAGATGCAGGAAACTGGTAGGTAGGAGTGTAAGGGTTGTCCTCTGCAGCAGAGAAAAGCAGTGGGTGTGAAGCTATCCACCATGAAGTGGAGGAAACGATTAACCCCCGGTTGACGCTTTCCAGTGATTATCTATTTTAGTGTTATTAAAGCACACAGGCATCACACTTAGATTAATGAATTAGAAAGGACTTAAGTTATTTTAATATAGCACACCATGCAAATGAGTGAAATAAAATGCTCACGGGCTAAAAATGACTATTAAAAACAAACTCTAAAAGTCAAATTGTGCACCTATAATGGAACTCTAAGAACTAATTTAAAGCTATGGCAACAGATGCACTGTCTAGACTTATGGTACCTTCAGAATTTTGCAGGATTTCAGGAAGTTCAGGGAATTTGTAGGTAGGGAAATAAGGGTTTTCTTCAGGAGTGTCTAGGCAGTGAGAGCAGGTTTGACAGAGAGAGAACAGGAAGATACAAATGGAGAAAGTGAATGAGTAGGAATTCACACATGATTTATATTCCTTGAATTGTGGGACACAATAAGCTTCACTAATGATATGAAATTTAAAATCCAGTCTTTTTGCCTGAATTAAGACACCCCGAAAAGAATTATATAGAAACTGGCTGCAAAGGACAAGAAACACTTAACACAAAGTCTCAAATTTCTCACTTCTTTTAGGTTAGAGATACGAAATATGATAAATGAAAACACTATCCTAAAGTGGTTTTGTTTTCTTTCCCCCCAAATCAAAGGCTGTTTTGTGCATATTAGAATCAAGGCAAACAAGTGAGTCTTGAGCTTTCTGGGTACAGCTGCTTCCACTAGAGCAGGGAGTTTTGTTCGGAATCTGTAATTGTTGAGTTAATAACTAGAGCACAAGAAGACCATTGGTGCCTTGGAGCAGAATCACACGTTCTGTGCATATGTATGCATTCATCCCTGCATTTAGCCATCCAAAACCAGGTCTGAAGGTGGGGAAGTCACAGACCGCTGGAAGAAAAGGGAAGTGACTACCATGGAGACCCAGTCTTTAGCAGCACCATGATGGAGCCTATCCACTTGACTCAGAGAAGGTAAACACTCAGTATTTAGAAATAGTGTGGACCATTCTGAACTCTGCAGAAGCTAACTAACAGTGAGGTTTAGCATATACAGGTAAGCAACGAGATTGGACATTTGTGACTTACATGGGAGCCCTGGCCAGAACACTATTTCTTTGGTGTGTTTCATGGCAGGCGGCCAGACTGGATTTGGGCACGAAGAAAGACAGGATGCTCTGCACCCAGGAAGAGTGGCTCCCTTCCCACCATGCAGTGACATCCCTGCCTGGCAGCTGCCTGGCAGCATAGGCAGCAATGAGTCTGAGCTAGTAGGGTTGTGATCTGCCAAAGCACTAGCCTGGGGTTCTGCCATCATGCTGGCGCACTCACTGAAAGCCCAGGGGGGCTCTTGATCTGTGAGCACCTCTTTCAAATTGAGCAGCTCTAGTGTGTCAGCTCACGACTGATTGATTCTCTACCTGCCAAGCTCTGGTTCCCAGTTTGGAAAGCTAACTTCTTACACTAGCATAGCTCCAGAGATGCACAATGTATCACACTTCACAGGGCCAAGTGTGTTCCCAATGAACGCCCACAACATCCTTCAGACACAGAAAGATACAAGGTCCACCTAAGAGCACACAAGTGCCCGGAGGCTGACTCCCGGGAAGAACAGTTTTCTTAACTCCCAGTGCAGGGCTTTGCTCAACTTGATTTTCTCACAAAGCAGTCATGGGCTGACACAAGGTATACCCAAAGCTGGAAGCAGGTGGGAGATGGAGCTGGCTGTCCCCCAGGCAGATAGGCATGGGAGCATGGGTGGGGTGCTAGGCTCAGCCTCCTGCACTACGCAGCAGCCGGGAGGGAGGACTTGCAAGCTGGCCTCACGTTCCAAAGCTGAGGCAGGCACAGGTGTAGCCCTCCCTCTTGTGCTCTGAGGGCACACGGCTACAATCAGGCAGGCCAGGCTCTAGTATAATCCAACAACAGGAGACCATCTCCCGGAGGCAAAGTGGACTGAGAACAGGGCCACAACCAACAAATTCCCACAGCATCACAGTTTCTACAAATGAAAATCGGTACCTCTGTTCAGCTTGTGGATCTGTTTAAACATAGTTTTGTACCAGTCCTTCGATCTTTCGGTATTCTGGAGAAAAAACATAAGCAAAGAATAAAAACAATGGAAAATTGAGCACATTTTAGAAGATCTATGATCACAAAATCAAAATCAAACAGGGAGATTCTAGAATTGATCCCAGGGCCTTGAACATGATAGGCAAGTGCTCTACCACACGTATCCCTAGCTACAGTATTAAGAACTTTTTTCAAAGGCAAAACTTTTTTTTTTGACTAGTGAATGACTGAGTTTTATTTTTTTTTATTTTTTTCTGTGATCCTTTTATTTTATTTTTTATATTTTATTTTCCAGTTTAAATTTAGATAAGAAACGAGGTTGCTTCACAAGTCAGTTCCAGGTCCCTCTCCCATTCCCTCCCCTCATCCCGTGCCCTCCCCCAACACCCCCCCGTTATCCCCTCATTTCCCCAGGGAGGGTGAGGCCCTCCATGGGGGTGTGCATAGTCTGTCATTTCATCCAGGGCAGGGCCTAGACCCTTCCCCAAGAGTTCAGGGTGAGAGTGCACCTCACATTGTTCTATGGAAGTCCAAAGTCCATGTGTATATTGGGATGGGTACTGATCTGCTGCCCAAGGCTCAATAGATTCCCTAGGCCTCCTCACTGACACCCAGATTCAGGGGTTCTTGATCAGTCCCATGCTGGCTTCCCAGGCTGGTGCCTGGGATTCTAGAGTTAACCTCAAAGGCAAAACTTTTGAGAAAGCTGAGCCACAATAAGAGATTCAGATATGATTTTGAAAAATGAGATTTGGCCTAAGGATGTAACAGACAAAGGCAGATTTGAAATATGCCCATGCTTTCTTTCTTTTAAAAAGATGTACTTATTTTTAATTTATGTATATGGATGCTTTGCCTGCATTAATTCATGTGCACCATATGCACGTAGCATCAAGGGAGGCCATCAGAGCCAGCCATATGTATTCTGAATCTTCTGTAAGAGCAGAAAGTGCTTTTGTTGTTGTTGTTGTTTTTCAAGACAGGGTTTCTCTGTATTGTTTTGGAGGCTGTCCTGGAACTTTCTCTGTAGACCAGGCTGGCCTTGAACTCACAGAGATCCGCCTGCCTCTGCCTCCTGAGTACTGGGATTAACCACTGAACCATCTCCCTAGGCCTTTGCCTAATCTTTCTTAAAATTTCATTTTTAGAGACAATCTCTCTGCTTCCCAGAATCACAAGGCAGTAAGTCATTGCTTACCACAGTCTTATCTCTGCCCCTTCTGGATTATTCTGTATAAATGTATATAAGTCACCGTGCACAAAGCCACATTTAGAACACATAGATTAAAATAGAACTCAAATGGCACCCAATCCCAGGGCTTTCACACTCACCTGGAGCTAGGCCTTTTTTCAAATATGAAAAGTAAAATAAGGTGGCAAGATAGAATAGTATCACTCGCATTTTACAGACAAGAGGATTAAACAGAAGGTGTCAAAGTGCACTGCCCAAGGCAGAGAGGTGTTAAAAAGTAGAAGGGCCAGCTAACGTAACAGCTGTACACACTCTGCCACCCCACACTGTGAGATCTTGAGAGAGTGATGTGATCCTGCAGCCAGTGCCTTTCTGATGCTGTGTTTGGGTGTGTGTCCTCTGTGGTTCATGGCTTGTCTCCCAGGGTGCCAGCACTGGGAGGTGCTGAGGTATTTGAAGAGGTATGGCCTAAGGAGCGGTCCTTAGAATACTGGGGATGGCTTCTCCACAAGGATCTGGGATGCCAGCCAGCCATTCTCTCTGCTCCCCAGCACACAGTATGCGTGCTGACCTTGATGTGCACTCTTGTCATGCATGCTAGCCTTGCCAGAGGTCCCTGCAGAGCAGGTGACTCAGTTCTGGACTCAGACCTCCAGAACCATGAGCCTCTCCTTGCTCCAGAAGCAGCCTGTGCTGAGTGTTCATAACAGCACAGCTAGGCTGACAGCGGCAGCAATCTATGAAAATGATAATGGCTTCCACCGCTCAAGTGGCGATGTGACATAGAGTCCAGCACAGGTAGCTGGATTCCTCTTGGTAACAGTTCTTTTTCTCTGTTATTACACATGACCACCATAGGGTTCTTCAAAGGCTTAAACTACTGCTGTTTCTATCTACCCTCTGAAAGGGTAAAAAAAAAGTCCCATTTTCCAAATGAAAATCAAAGACACATACTGCAGCCAGTGGCCTGGTGGACACATAGAGAGGAGTAGGATTCCCCTGAATCAAGCCACAAGGGCAGGCTTCCCTGAGCTCCTTAGAACCTTTAGGAGCATTGGCACACATGGCCTCAGGAAGAGGCCTGGTGGTTCTGAAGGCCTTGAAGGGCCTCCTTTGCCTGGTTGCCTTGTCCTGCTCACCTTGCTTGATGGGGCAACTCTCATTCAAGGATCTTCTCCCTGAACCCAGGTACACAGCCTCACTTTGCCAGGGATACCCCACCTCTGGAGCAAGAACTGCTAGTGGGGTTCCACAGCAACAACGGCCGTGCCCGTGGAGCATGTGCAACCCAAGCCTGAGTACTCTGCTGCAGAAAAGCTCCTCAACTTTGCTCCGCCCAGGCTGTTCCTTTTCTTTTGAGACTTATTCTCCTACACCCACTTTGGAGAAGTCTGGGTATGCTCAAAGGGGTGTGGTTTGTGCTGGTGTCAACGAGAAAAACCCTCCTCCCATAAGCCACCATGACCCCCTCCAAGCTTTGAGTCCACAGACACTCAAGGCCACACTCTTGCCAGCACTTGTCAGGTCCGCATTCGTACCCGGAGTGGGATGCCCACTTCATCCATGGACACATCGCTGAGGTCCTGTGCACTCTTCACCACCCTCCTGCTGTCATCCTTTGCTCTCCTCTCAGCAGCCCTGCTGGGCGAGGTGAGCTCTGCCGGGGTTGGCACTGAGTCCTGTTCACCCACTCTCCGCTCTGAGGCAGGATCTGGAAATGAAAAGCAATCATGGGCTTGAACTCCAAAGCGGAAAAACTCTCCCACAATCCAGCTAGGGGAAAGGGATGTTTGCTAACTTCCAATTGGAACTAGCCCCATGTAGGCTAGGGGTCAGTGAAGTCTAGCCGACCCTTGGCCACCTGCTTTTATACGTAAAGTTTCACTGGAACATAGCCATGATGGTCTGTCCACACATTATTTATGAATTCTTTTGTGTTACCATGGCTGAGCTGAGTAAGCTGTGACCACATGGTCTGCAAAGCATCAAATGCTTGTTATCTGGCTCTTTAAGAGAGGCCTACAGAGGTATGGAATGGTTCTGAAGATCTCTGGGAAGGTAAGGGAGCAGGTCAGGTCTGGAAAGTTAATTTTTTTGTCTTGGAAGGCACTTAACTCTCCTCACTTAACTTTCCCATGCCTTAGTTTTCTCATTCAAAAAATATGGGAATGACATTTCCATTGGCAAGTTCACAAAGATGCTGTAAGTCAAAGTACTCAGAAAGCTAGACATTGCTTGGTGCTCATTACAGTTTATTCAACCTGGCTTATGACTGGCACTTACAGAGAGTCAAGAAATATATCAGGTGTGGTGTACAGATTACATGGTCACTAGCTACTATCTGCTTTTCAAAGCTAGACCATCCAGTTACTGAAGAGGTATTCCCCAAGCATCTGCTAGATGCTATGCCTAGCATTCTGCATGTAGATATGAAGGTGAACCTCTCAGATTCTTAATCTTCAGAGGCTTATACTCTAGTGGGACAGCAATAAGAATGCAGAGTAGCGAGGCAGACAGAGGAGTCAGCAGCAAACTTAGTTGCTGGATCTAGTTTCAGAGTCAACTTGTCTAAGAGTAGTCAATCAGATGAAAAGAGAGTGTAGGGTGTTCCTGGGAGAAGGAACAGCATCAACAACTGCGTGCCTCCTTGAACTACTCTCACTTAATGAGGTGCTTGGCATGGCACTAAACCCTTCAATAAGATAAGAAGACACTGTGGTTAAAAAAAATGGGGGGGGGGCTTACAGGCATCCAGGAGATGCTACAAGACCCAGATGATACACCTTGCCAGGATGGAGTTATACAGCCACCAGCACAAGAATAATGACAGATCTCTATGGCAGAAGGAAGTGAGAGCAGAGCCAAGGGCTGAAATCACACACTGAAAAATACCAAAGAAACAGGAAGAGAAGCAGAGAATCCCCAAGCCTACGTGGAAGTCATCTGAGCAACAGGAAAGGGACAAAAACACAGAGAGAGCAATTTCAGGAAGGCAACAACAACAGGTATCAGACTGCAGAGAAAGGGATACATGTGTGAAAAAGAAGGGTGAACTCAACACAGAGGAAGGAGTGTGTCAGATGATAAAAGATGGACAGCAAAGGGGCGTAAGCCAAGGGAGCCCAAAGTCTTATCAGTGAAGAATAAAGCATGTCTTTCTCCCAGCCCTCCACTAATTAGCAAGTGCTCCCTGATTGAGCGAAGTGCAAAGTGCTGGCAGGGGAATGAATGCACTCTGGCAGGAAGCTGGGATTTGGGATTCCATGCAAAGCTGTGACAAAGTCAGAGGTGTCCATGTATGAAGAAATGGCTGAGGGGTTGGAAACAGTGAAGTGCGCATGCTCAGGTTTCTAACATTCAGTCCACTCAACAGAGTCACTCTCCCCTGACTTCAGACACGCTTCTTCAAGCCTTGCTCTGTCTATGAGTGCAGAATGATTTCTAAATATCCTTGTCAACCTGATCCCCATATCATCACCACAAACCTCCAAAGAGGCTAGATCAGACTGTCTCCCTAGGATTTCTGGAATTTGTAACGCAAGGCCAAAGATCCATCAGAAAACTCAGAATGCAAGAGGACTGAGCTATCAGTCTACCCTTGACTTGGGTCTCTGAACATTTTCCTCCCACCTGGAAAGGCCTTCCTCAAGTGAAATAAAAAAGGGGCCAGTGAGCTGATTCCAAACTCCACCTTGCTTGGTATGTAAACACTATGAGCTGATGACCACAGACACTTGGCCAAGGTTTCTTGGCCAAGTAAATCTTTAAAAAAAAAATGATTATGGCAAGTGATTCTAACCATTGTAACACTGATTCCATTAATTTTCCCAGTTACTTTGATCTATAAAATCAGCGTTACCCTCCCCCCCTTTGTTTAAACTTTAGAAGCTTAAAGTGATGGGATTCTAGTATATGGAGGGATCAGGCCCCAAAGAAAAATGTGACTTGATATGGTAAACCCCTGAAGTGACACTTAACTGTTCCACATCAGTCAGAGCAACCCTCTGAATTCACAGTATACATTCTGATGCTTTACGTCATATTCTGGCTGTTTCTTTCTGGCTTTACGGTGTGCTTCAAAAGATCTTGACTTGGGGGATAGAGAGATGGCTCAGTGGTTAAGAGCACATTCTGGTCTTGCAGGAACCCAGGTTTTTTTTCAATATCCATATGGTAACTCACAATCATCTTTAACTCCAGTTCCAAGAGATTTATTGCCCTCTTTTAGACTCCATGGACCCTAGGCACACACATGGTACTCATATATTCATACATGCAAACACTCATATACATAAAATAAAAATAAATCATTTTTTAAAAGTTTTGAATCAGTAAACAAATGCTGACAACCTCAAATGGGGTCTCTCTCAGAAGGAAGTAGGACAGATTATCTGTATATCCAAAGTTGTGTGACAGTCTAAAGCAATTCTTATATTTCTCTAGGGGAAGGGCAGAGCCCTCCCTAGCCCCATGTCAGTCCCTGCAGTCTTTAATCAGGGAGACCACAAACCACAAAAAGCCAAACAGCACGAAGGCTCCATCCTCTGATAATTCTCCACAATGGCTCCTCTTGACTGTCAAGTTGACTGGAGTAACAAATACTTAGAATATTAGTAAAGCACATCTCTGGATATTCCAGTGAAGGCATTTTCAAAGATGACTAAACTGGGAAGACTCTGCCCTATCGATGGATTAATCCATCATGAATTCAAGACTGGGAGGTTGTGAAGCTGAACCCTGGTTGAAGAAAACACCTCACTGGGGCCATCATCTTTTCCTGGCCCCTCTTGTTGCTGCTTCTCTCAGCTTCCTGTTCATCGGAGTGTGAACAGATCCACCATGCCCTCCCCACCATGACCAACTGAATCCCCTAAAACCACAAGCAACCAACTTTCCTTCCTTAAACTATTCTAGCAGGTACTGGTAATCGAAATGAGAAGACCAATACTCTCTCATTGGGTGGTGAGCTCCACAGACATTCACTAAAACTGTGCTGAAGGGAAGGAGGCTGGCAGTCCTGAGTCTCAGATGTATGGGTGTGGGGTATTCACTCATGTGCTCCAGAGAATTCTCTAGAGGCTAGAGAATGCCACTCTCAGAAGCTCCTGGAGACTAGTGGAGACCAAGGGCATTGTGTACTAAGCCTGCCTGCATAGAGGAGAGACCTGCCCATGAACAAGGCCCTTACTAGTGTGGACAGCATCCTTCTCATTTCAACCACACACATCAGTACCTGCAGGCAGAACCAAGAATTAGCATGTTTCCCAGAGAAGTGAAGTCACTTACCCAGGGACAAACAGTTCTGTGAGGGGTAAAAAACAAAAGCAAGCAAACAAACAAAAAAAAAAACCTCCGGGTCTCCCAACACGTAGCTAGATGCTTTTTCCATCAATTTTGACAACCCTTTCAAGCTACCAAAGGCAAAAGAAAATGCCTCCCTCTCCCCCTGCCCACCTCCACATGTACGGGCATGTGTGCGTGTGTGCATGCGTGCGTGCTCATGTGTGTGTGTGTGCGGGCGTGCGTGCGTGTGTATTTTCCACCCATGGCCACCTGGGCTGGCCAGGGGAACCAAGTGCACTGAACCTGGTAGTTCAAGAAGGGCTGTGAAGGGCACCTTGAGATTAACCACAGCCTGTTCTGGTGCTGTCACCAAGTCCTGATAAAGTTGAGAGGGTGTGAGAACCTCATGTCCTCCCCACTCAGGCTCTGCCCAAATCACAAGAGCAGTGGTATGCTAAAGTCATGCAGAAACCACATAGCAGCTGCTCAAAAACTGGTGGCTTTGGCTACTCACTGGATCAGAGGTTCTTAACGCTAGAGCTCATGAGCCCTTGCTCCATGTGCCCTGTGTACACATTGGCTTTGTCTGAAGAGTGAACCAACTGCCTTCATTAGCTCCTCCCAAGGAGCCCATGACCAAACAGTAGTAAGCCATCACACCACGCCATCAGCTGTTGATGGGCAGCACAGCTCCCTTCTGCAACCCCAGAACTGACTCTGCACCAATCACAAGAATAGAACTCAATAACAGACCAGAGTCAACGCAAGCACCCGCAGACAACAGTGTTTCATGTCTACTAAGCTCTTAGCACAAAGCTTAGGGCATTGCCGCCCATTAGCAGAATGTCCCAGGAGTTTCACAACAATCTGGGAGACACGGCTACTTTCTTCCTTCACAGAAAAAAAAAAACTGGAGTATGAAAACCAGGACTGGAAGCAGCAGGGAAGGATTGACTACCTCCATCCCTGGGTTTCTCCAGGATCTCAAGCCTCCCTAGCCCAGCACTGTCTCATCCTGTATACCCCCTCAGGAGTGAGCCCTGACTACTGATGATATTTGTGGTCACTCCACCATCAGGGACCTTGGTGATTACTCTCTACCTAAGGGTAAGGGTGTGGTCATCAAGGAAGAAAGCATCAGTTGCTTGGGATCCAAGCTGCCACCCTTGTCCAGTAAATCTGACCCTCTTAAAGTGAGTCTCAACAAGCTTTCCAGAAGATACTGACACCAGCTCGAGTCCAAGCGGAGCTTCAAGCACTGTGTGGGTCTAGGGGTACTTATTTAGACCTGTCCCCAGGGTCATCCATCTACTGGCAGTCTGTTTTTTGTTTGTTTGTTTGTTTTTTATTCAAAAAGGGAAGAACTTTCCACATATTCCAATCCCTGAGTCACTTAATCAGAGAGAGACGGAGCAACAGAGCACTCTTTGGAGACCTTCCATTGGTCTGCACACAGGCAGTCTGGTCTGGCTACCTGGGTACACATCACAATTCCACAAGGCAGGCTGACTACTGTGGTTCATGGGTCTGTCTGCTCGAGGGTACAGAAACTATTCCTGTGATGTGGGAAATCCTTCTGTATGCTGTGAATGTGTTGCTTTTATTGGTTGATAAATAAATCTGATTTGTCCAAATGACCAGGCAGAATAGAGCCAGGAGGAAAATCCAAACAAAGATACAGAGATAAAGAAGGCAGAGTAAGGGAGATGCCAAGTAGCCATTTAGCTGCTGGAAAAACAAGATGTGAGGTAACAAGCCATGAGCCTCATGGTAAAATATAAACTGAGAGAAATGAGTTAATTTAACTGTGAGAGCTAGTCAGTAATACACCTGAACCACTGGCCAGACAATTATAATTAGTAATAATCCTCTGACTGTGCATTTGGAAACTGGTGGGCGGGAGACAAACCTCTATTTACAGTTCTGGTTTGCATTATCCCTGAGGTTCATCAATCAACACACAGAGACATTCAGAAGACTGTGTCGATTGGACGCCAGCTTGAACAGGATCTGAAGTTATCAGGCAAATAAACAGATGGCTCACCTACCTGAAATACTACTGAGTCGTTTTTGCTGTTCTGTGATGAGAGAAAAGAACACAATGTAAGTGATATTTATACAGCACCTGGCAAGACAGAGAAGTCCCAGCATAGCTAATGAGGACATCACACCCTAGTCCTTGCTGTTCTCTGGGTTTGGATGTTAAGGCAGTGGTCATGATGCAGCTCCTATTATCCCAAAGATAGAAGCAAGAGGTCCCCAAGCTCCCCAACCTGCAGATCTGCACCAGGACTTGGGCCCACCAAAGTGTTCTCGTAGTTTTCCTCTTGTCTCAAGGTGACTCCTCACTCATGACCCTTCCAACCCCTCTGGGTTCACACAGACAGGCCTCTGAACTTTTTTGGTAGGCACATTAAGAATCAGACTTAACAACTGCCATCTCCTAGCTTGTCAAATGGCAGCCTGTTGTTAGAGCTTTTTCATCTAGCACTTGCAATCTTAGCAACAGCTTTGGCTGTTAGGTACAGCTATTTTCCTCAGTGGACAACCTTACACTGTAGCTTAGTCACTGAACATCTGCCCGCTCCAGGGTAATAGAGAAATTCTAAAAAATTATCAGCATTAGCTAAGGGATTAGGGACTTAGATTACTCAAGATAACACCAAAAACCATCTGGTTCTAGAACCAAAATCTCTAGCTTACAGTCTTCAGCTCTTCCCAACCCTGGTGACCTAGTCCCCACCGTCCTTAATGCGGTTGCTCACCTTCCTAGGTAATCATGTGGGACGGAGGCCTAGGTCTTGTTGGCAGCATCCTGTGCGCACTCACTATTCGATAAGCACAAAAGTAACCTTTACCTTCTACAGCTGCCAAATACCAAGCAGAGAGATAAAAATAGACCATGCTGGCCCATGCGCGCTGTCACCGTCACCCATGGCCACATTCCTATCCTGATGCTAGCATCGATGTGGGGGAGAAGTAAACAGCAGTGTGGGAGCTCCAGGCCAGGAGACCAGCAGCTGTCCACCAAAGCTTTATGCATGGAATCCGCACCACCTGCACCAGATGCCGAGTGGAGTTCCAAGCTCAGCTAGGCAGAAAACTTGCCATATGACAATGACCAATCGAGTAACCTCTTGGCCTCAGTTTCCTCATCTGTGACGTCACAGTGCTATGGCATCTAAAGGATTTATGGCTGCCACATTCTATTCTGCAAGGTGCAGCAGGGTCCTCCTTTTCCAGCAGAAATGAAGCAATTGAGAAATCCCTGCTGCTCCTACTTTGAAGGTGTACAAAGGCTGTTCTTTCACAGGACATCTCACAGACAGTGACACCTAGTTTTCAGTCAACAGCACTGGAGTGATCCTTGGACCGTTCCTGTCCACAGACCTGTCTGGGAACAGTGAAGGTCTTGCTTTCCAAGGTGGTCCATAGCCAACCACAATGGCCTGCCTGGCAAACTTTCTGAACTCTGGAACCTTGTTCTCCTACCCCATCCCCAGAGCTGCAAGTTAACTCAACTCTCATAATCCAACACACAGAAGAGGCAGAAAGGTCCTGAGCAGGGGACCACGGCCTCTTTCAGCCCTGATTCCCTGACCGAGGGCAAGCGATGCCATGAACACACAGGCATGGAAGTTCAAGGAACAGTGGAAAGGAGACAGTGCTACCCACAACCAGCACAGCCAGGCCAGAGGCTCAGTGCCTGTTTGCCCCTCATGTCAGGAGGCTGGCTAGGGGAGACAGGATCACTGCCAATCTGTGCCCTGTGACAGACTAGACAGAAAAAAATGGAACTTTTTGTCAATGATGACTAAACTAGAATTTCAGATATAGAGTAAAGGTACCAGCCCTTAGGAAACTTTGCCATTGTGCTCGCTTCGGCAGCACATATACTAAAATTGGAAGGAAACTTTGCCATAGTTAAGAAACTGTTCTGTGAGGAGAAGCAGAGATGCCAAACCAGGGACATTCCAAAGCAGGCACCCAAAGTATTTGATCTAAACCCCACTAATGGATACCCTCTTTTACCCTTCCCTACCTTCCCTGCCCTACCTGGGATGAACCCACGTTTATCACTTTACAGGAAACACTAGCTAATTTTAAAAAGTCCCCCGTAAGATCATTACTCACATGCTTTTCTGAAGGACAACTCTAATTTCTGAACCCAAAAGTAGGACTTGGTCAAGAGAAAGGCAAGAACCAAAAGTCCTTTCTGATGAATATGAAAATTTCACTTATTCAAGGAAGAAACAAAGAGGGAACTCAGGCATTTTGGTGTCTGAAAACATCCCTGTAGGTGTTGTCAGAGGGACTTGGCAAAAGCAGCTGACATTACGCTGGGCATTTCCCAAAAAGCAAGTTGCCTGGGGAATAAATCCCGTTTTTTTAAGAAACTGCCTTTCTTTCTGGGAACCAACTTGCTTTTTAGAATAATGAGTCATGAAGGAGTTCACAGAGAGGCTTTTGCTTTTTGCTACATTTTTCTTTGTTCTACATGATAGACACTGGTAAAGAAAGCTGCTGCCAGGGAGGGTGGCAGGGCTAGAAAGAGAATGGACACTTAGATGTGGGACTCTTCTGTCCTTTGGAAGAACACTGGGGCCACACAGTACAAAAACAAACCTGAAACCACTTAAGCAACCATTTAAGAATTGAGCGAACATATTTTAAGTGAGAGAAATTTCTTTTTGGTATGGAAAGTGATGAAAAATTGGATTTTAGCTCCACCTTCTTTAAGGGAGGGGCAGGAAGGGGAGGAGGCTATGAAGTGGGTGAAGAAGGTGACAAGAAAAGATTTAGAACCAAACTTTGAACTATAGACAGTACACAGCCCTGCACTGCTCCCAGAGTTCAACATAGAAGAGTCCTCTCCAGGGAGATGGCCTGAAAACGTCCCATTTCATCTTGCAAAAGGACGTTCATTAACTGAATGAACTTTATGCCTCCATGCAACACCAAAATGGAAAAGTTGGGATTTAGAATCATTGCCTGAATTTTAAAGCAGAAAGGTAAAAGCGTATAATGACTACTTCAAAGCTCTTGGGTTTTATAGACCCTGAGGCCCCTTCAGAGATGAGCCAGACCAGCTAGAACATCCAGAGAAACATAGGACTCCATCAGAAGCCTAAGCAGGCAGAGCCATCCGGGCCATGTGGATGGAATCAGTGCAAACAGACATATGAGTCTCTGCCACAGAGATTGCCACTGAATGGCCACTTACCACAGAATATGCTGTGAGAAGAGGACTAGCCAATTCCCAGGAGAAAGTCTAGAAGCCTCTGTTACAGAGGCACAGAAACACGCTTTACATTGTAGACAATCTATTCAGTGTTTCCTTTTTTGAAATCTGGTATTCAAAACTGCACTTTCTAGAAACTTACTACTTCGAACAGGTCAGTCATTTATGACAGCACCTAAAAGACATATTGTAGCCACATGTTTGAGGCAAAGCACCATTACAAATCACACGATGAAGAACCAGGAGGCACAAACTTTCACTTTTGTACATTAACTGTCTGAAGGTAAACACACAAAAGACAGGGTATAAGCAATGAACTTGAAGTGGCCCAGCTTTACAGGTACCTGACATCATTCCAGATCAGGGGTCTCTGTCTCCCTGCTAGGGCTGATCGACCTTGTGGGTCCTACAAGGAGGCTGGGGCAGATGGCCTGGGGCAGGGCTGGGGAGAGTTGCTGACTACAGCACCCTGCAAGAGGCTGCCTTACCTCGATTGTGCTGCAGGAGCACGATGGTGGGGTTGACGATTGTGGTGGAGGGGTAGGCAGATGACGGTTTGCTTGTTGGAAGGAAGGCTTGGGAATCAGTTTCAATATGGGAAGAAGAAACTTCATTTATTAAAGGGCTGCCCTGAAAAACAAAACGTTAAAAAGAAGCGTGACCATAAGACATCTAGAATTAAGACTCTGTGAGAAGAAGGAATGAAACTCTCTACAAGACGTTATTTATAAACAAAAATATAGCCAATGAGTTAATTCCAGTTAAACTGGAAATGTATTCTCCTCGTAGGTATTAGTAATGGGGAAGAGAAGGAAGGTAAGTAAATGTTGCGGAAAGTCTCAGTATTGCCCCTTTTTTTCACCTAGTAAAAGTTGTGTATCAATCTGGTTACTAAAAAGCAAATTCAAATCAAAATAGAATAGCATGCAAAACTCATGCAATTCCAAATGCGATCCAAGAACGAGAGCTGGTTAAGTGGGAAAAGCCAGGGAAGTTTAGGCACCCTATAGAGAGATGTCAGACAAGTCACTGAGATAAGAACAAAGAGGAGTCCCTATGTAATGGCTAATGGCTCTCAGGGAAGTTACTGTGAACCTCAGAATCACTGAGCAGATTCAGCAGCTGTGGCAGGACCCTACCCTGCCGGAACACTTCTTCTCTCCAGTGTCAGAACAACAGAAGTCCAAGTCCTTTGAACCAAGTCATGGGAGAATCCTGACTTTAAAAACCTGAGAGTGTCACCAGAAATATCAACAAATTACTAACACTTTTATAATCTGATAATGGGGATAATGTCAGCCTTAGGTTTCCTCCACCACACTTACAGGTTCTGCAAAGTTTTTATTTTATATTATTCAAACCTTAAAGCAAAGATGGCAATCCCCGCGCCCAGTTCTAGGGACTGAACTTAGGACTGAGCTAAGCAAACACTATATCCTCAGGGTGGCATTCCTCTTCTTTTTTCTTTTGTTAAAGACAGGGTTTCACTGCACAGCCCAGGATACCTTGAAATTCCCTATGTAGGCCAGGCTGGACTCAAGCTCAGCAATTCACTTGCTTCTAGTCATGCACCACTATGCTTGGCAAGATGGCATTCTTAAAGGACTTTAAGAACAAAATTTTGGTAGCTATTTTTGAAACAATTATGCTCAGAGACAGCCACTGCACCACCTGTAAGACAAGAACCACATGTCTCCCTCTTCTGCCACAACACAATGCAACACCCTACAAATAGCAGGTGCTCAGAAAAACACTTTGTAAGTGACAGAAGCTATCTACCAGCAAGGGAGTGTATGGGCTAAGCTTTGTGGCAATAGAATGCTCATCAGGAGAGGTGTGGGGTTCAGCACCATGGACAGGTCTTGACACACAGTAGGGACTTTGCCACTGATGTCTTGGATGGGCTTTAGTTTAGATGGTCCCTAGATAGTCACTTCTATGAGCTCAATTTTGTTAGCAAAATATTTTCCCAAGGCTTGAGGGATTTATATCAACTTATGGCCTGGATGCCACCCATGGGGCATCTAGACGGGGAATCTGACAGTCTGCTTTTAAATCTCTTACTCTGTTACCTAAAGCCCCAAAATAAATGTCGCTAAGCCAACTTCTGGAGAGTCTACTGCAGAACAATTAGGCCAGTTGGACAAACTGCATACACTATCCCAACTGATCTGTCCTAACACACAAAAAACAAACCCAATATGCAAACCTAGAGCTAAAACAAACGCCCAACAGAAGGATAGCTTACAGCGACATCTGAGTGCTCTCCGGTAAGACTCGCTATACTTGCTTGCACAGAGAAACACACTGGAAAGACAGTACATCCTAAAGCAGAACACCTTCAAATTCACCTAAAGGTTCAGCAAAAGAGGATAGGATGGGTATGTATCAGTCTGCAGGAGAGATGAGTTCCAAAGCTTGAGTAGAAGGGCCAAACTCATGGTTATAGCATACCTAGCTCTGGTCTAACTGTCCTGGGCTGCAGCTGGAGGTTTGACAAGATGTCCAGCTCATGAAGTTCCCAGCTTCTGTGTGCCTAATGCCTCATTATCATTTTCCTGCTGAGCAAAATAAGAAGTTTCCTCCCTGTTCTCTGATTCAGCTTAACAAGTCATGTAAGCCAGTTTCTTGAGCATACTTCTTCCAATCAAGGACACTAGTAAGTGTTTAGTTCAGTCATCAAATACATGATACTTGGCTCACTGTACATCAGTAGTGGTGTTTATGGCCCCAACATCAAAATCCCTTGGATACCTACAACCAAGTGAGAGGCCCCAGTCCTAGCCCCTTCCCAGACCCACTCAATCAAAGTCGTGATATATAAACTAGACTTCTCTAGATTGAGAGCAGATGTACTCTAACCATCCCCCAGATCATTTAAGAGCAGGAGCCTTATACCTGTGAAACCTAGTTGCTTAGAACATTGTAGGATGAAACCATCACTAACTAACCAGTTACTTTAACTTATGCATTCACTAGGAAAAATCCTCAGTAATGCAGCTTGCAGAAACCAGATATTTCACCTGTGTTGAGCTAAACCATGAGTTCCTATCATGGGAAGAGTTACTATTCAACACCACTGAACCCTATGGCTTCTGAATGTCCTCATATGATGAGATTCACTCAGATTCTCTCATCCTGGGCTCCTAAGGAAGGAAACATACTGTGCCAGAAGCAGCTGAGCTGTCTGTGAAGAGACTCATACTGAACAGGCAAGACCTTTTAACTTCCCACAATTATTGACATACAAGTTTGCCACCAAAACCACAGTGGCCTCCTCCTCAGGGGCCCTAGCAATTTTCTGTCTTGTGAGAAGGTCTTAACACACAGATTTTCAGATCCATTTACTCAATTAACTCCCCCTCTTTCCCTCCCTCTCCCCAGTCTCTGCAGTTGTTAAAAAGAGAGCCCACTTATGAAACGAGTCAAAAGTGAAACTTTTCCTCCTCACAACCTCTCTGCTCCTTCCTTTCCGAGCATCACGCCTGCCTGTGGCTCTCCACAGGACATTGCAGCTTTCTTCAGCCTTCTGTGCTATATCTACTGAGCCTAGGAAGCCCAGGACCAGGCAAGGTAAAGAGCACGGGTGCTTCTCAAAGGGAAGACAAAGTTCCATCAAGAAGACATGCATTCCCAACAGAGCAGAGAAGAGAAGGTTCTCGAGTCAAGCGCAGCTACAGGTGGCCCACAGGGTGCACATGGGAGGCATGCACTCGGAGACAGCAAACACAGGTCCAGTCATCACACAAGCACAGTGGCCAAGGCCCCCTCAGAACTTAGTACTTCAGTGAGAAAGGGTTTTACTGCCAGGAGCAGACATTCAGGGAAGCTGTAGGGAAGGGGGTCCAGCAAGCTTACGGTACTTGAGACAGCTCCCGGGAGGTCAGGCTCCAAGGCTCTGTGGAGGTCCTCCGGTATGGGAGGGACCAGCGGAGGTGGTGGTGAGGGTGGTGGCCTCTGGCTAGCAGGGGGGAGGGAGCCACAAGCACTGGCTGGCTGGCTGTGATGGGGCCGCCTCTGCAGATGAGGGGGAATGAAATCATCTAATGTCGGGAAGGTCAGAGGTGAGGCAGCAGGGGTGGTCGCCGGGATAGTGTGGACGCAGCCAAGTGGCCCCAGAGATGCTGGAGTTGTGGCAGTGCCTTCTTGCCCTCTGTCAGTATTAACCAGGTAGAGAGGGACAACTATTACCTCAGACGGGGCTGGGCTGGAGGAGGTGGCATCCTGTGGGAAATAAGGGGTCGTTATGCAAAGGGGACTGCAGAGAGGCAGGAATTCCACATTGAAACAGTTGCGTATGGACATGCAGTGATGCACTTGGAGAAATATTTAATCAGTGTCCTTTCCTCAGAGTACATGAGACAGCCAGTGCTAGCCAGTGCTAGCCAGCTGGCCTCCTGACACTCTATGACACAGAGGGAGCCCCATCCAAGTTCTCTTTCCATCCATCTATTTTTGAACCCTTTTAACGCTTTATGAGAGAGAAAGAGCAAACAACAGAACACGCAGGCAGGCAGGCAAGCAGGCAGTGTCTAACTCCACTCAACCAGCATAGAGCCTGCAAGCTTGGGAGTGAATTCAGTTTTTTCAGCACCTTGTCATAGGATATAAACACTCTATCTCACTACAGTATTAGTCTATGAATTCCACGCTCTGGCATACTGAGATATTTACAGACAAGAGACAGGGAGACAGAAGAGGCTATGCTGGGAGGTTTAGAGATCCAAGCGCTGTATCCCTAATAAGGAGAGGAACAGTAGGAAAGCCCAGAGAACAAGTGAGCCACTTGAAAGAGACAGCGTAGAAGACACACAAATATTCCTAGTTTCTTGCCTTGGCTGGATAACACGGCTGCAAAAGGTAAGTTTCTTTGTTCTTCTGGCTTTCAGGATCAGAGGTAACATGGGGGCCTAGCCCGGGAGGCCTCACTGCATCTGGGAATGAGGCCCATGTCCCCAGTGTGGGATTCTCACCAAGGTTACCAGCATCTTTGCAGTGGTCAAAGAATAGCTTGGGAGCGTCAGGAGGAGGAGCAGGGGGTGATTTTCCTGTGCTGGCTGTGGCTGTGCCAGGGACAAGGCTGGGAGCTGGTGCCTGGGTGCCTGCAGCCTCCGAGGGAGTGTCTTTGGCTGAGTCACGTGCAACAGGAGAGTAGTTTTCCAATGTTGCCCGGCAAATGTTATCGGATAAACATGGGACATATAAGCTGCTGACCTTTTTATTCCCTGTGGCCTCATGACGTGGGTTAGAGCTCACATTCTTACTGTACACTAATCTGGAGGCTAAATAGTGTTGCTGGGGTTGGAAGGAAGCATCAAGGACCATGGACCCCAAAAGCAATGAACCAGGACATACCGCACCTTTGGGAGCCAGTCTAGCTGCCAGGGGAACAGGGATGGGCGGAGGCAGTGAGGGGCTCTGCTGGATGGGGGTGCTGGATGGCATGTAAGGCTTTGGTGAGCTCATGTAGAGGGAGTCCTTGTGGTTGCAGTGGACAGTGGGGGGCTGCCATGCAAAGCGGTCCTTTAGAGGGCCAGGAAGGCGTGGGGGAGACAGAACCTTTAGTAGTGGTTTCAAGACATGACAGAACAGGGAGAAAGAAAGAGGAGGGGAGATGGAGAGAAGGATCATTAGAAACAGCAGCACAGCATGATAAAAGACAAAACAACTCTTGACAGGCTTTGAAGCAAATCCTTCTGGTGTCCACAGCTGTCGTCTGGGCAGCTCTCGGGACTGACTCACTCACCTGTAGGCCTGGCCTGACTTACAAGTCAGGGAGGCCTAGCCAGCGCCAACAACAGTGTTTGTTTGGCTGTACCTTTATTGACTCCCGGACTCAAGGATGTGCTCAAGGGGCAATCTGCAAGTGGGTGAAGCCCCAGAGCTGAGTCCTCATTCCTTCCCAACACCCTCTTCCCCAAGACTCTCATCGAAGCCTTTAGTTTTAAAAGTTTAAGTTCATTAGACTTGTCTGAGCTACTTTAACTTTTTCCCTATAGGAAAAGGACAAATGGAAGGTCCTCTTATATATGTGTTCACAGGAGGCCGACGGCTTCCTTTGGCTCCCAGCTCAGCTCTCAATTATACAAGCATGCAAAGTTCACTAAGGGGAGGAGGCCATTCAAGACTGAACCCGTATGCACTCTTTTCTCAGAAGAAATAATCTGATAGAATTCATCACTAGAAACGTAGCTTAGTTTGCCTAGTATGCACAAGGCTCTGAGTTCAATCCCCAGAACTATAATAAAAGGGCATGGGAGATAGTCAAGAGATTAAACGCATGTAGTTTCCCACTTCTGAGGCACAGGGTCAAAAGCCCAAGCCATTTGGCATGAAATTAGCCTATGGTATTGGTTGGGCTGAGCCTGGTTTATTCAGCCAATCCACCACCATGCACACACAATCATTTCTATACTTGGGTGATCAACTTTAGCCCCAGTGTGAGAACAAAGCTCTGGTAAAAGACTCAGGGTTACAGTTAAAATTCCTACCTCTCCCGTTTCTGCTCAACAGCTTTCTTTCTTCCATGGGTCCCAGTGGGCAGAGCGACAGGAGGCAGGATGACCCTCAAGCCTGATCCTCCTCAGCCAACCTGTGGCTCATCTGAGAACCAGACTCCCAATGTTCCTAGACTTTGCTCACCAGCCCTGATCTTCAGATTTCACCATGAGAACAAAACCAGAACCCTCCTCTAATCACAAGTTGGTGAATATACGGCAGCTGTAGTCAAAAACTAGAGAGGAGCTGGGAAGGTGGCCCCATGAGTAAGAGCACTCGCTGGGCAAGCATGAGGACCTGAGTTCAAATCCCCAGAACCCAAATAAAAAGCTTGGCATGTCTGCACATTCCTGTAACCCTAACAATGCAGGGGCAGTGACAGGGGCACTCCAGAATTCACTAGCCGGCTGGCCAGGCTGAAATGGCAAGCTTGTGATTCATTGAAAGCCCTGTCCCAAAGGAGTAAGACAGACAACCAGAGGAAACCACCCAGCACCTTCCTTTGTCTTTGTATGTGCGCACACAGATGAGCACATCTACATGTGCACAGGCATGCAGCGCACAGTGACTATACTGAGGCCAGTTCTCACTTTATTTTATATTTTATACAAGATATGTGGGAAGGGGAAAACATTAGAAAGGGCCTAGGTGAGAAAGTGAAAAAAATCTTAGATTGTAGATTAGACCACCATCAAGAAACAATAAACAGCCTACATCTTAAAACCCAAGTTTGAAATGACAGAGATGACCATTTGGGTATTCTCAGTTAACCTTGTCCCAGTGAGCCTCCAATAGTGCTAATGCAGCACAGCCAATTATACCAGCCCGGAATCCACAACAAAGAGCCCCTCTGGAGCAGAAGCTATCACATTAGCTATTCGACTGGATGAATTTGGACTGAGTGATGGGACACGTTGCAGTAAGCTTACAATCTCCAGAAACAACTGAACTAGCTCCCACCATGGGGACTGTCAAGGAAGGATAGGGCTGATGAAAAGCAAGCAGAAAATCATCGTGATCTGGGCTCAGATTTACTTTAACTTTACACTAGAGTATCTTACATGTTGTTTCTTTTGTCCAAAGATAGAAATCGGTTTCTATGAGTTTTAAGCTTAATTCAGCCATGGCCATGTATGGTACGAGGACTGCATGACATTAGGCACAAGCCCTCTTAGGGTTGTGACCTTGCAGAGAGGACACTTCCCCAGAGTGTCCACAATACACACAGAGTCAAAGGGTTTCCTGTCTTGGTGCTTCTTTTAACTCTAGAGAAGACGGTGTTAGGCTGATCAAGAACACCAAGGAGCAGCTTTTTGCTTCATTCTAAGTACTGCAGTCTAACCTACCCACTGACCATAATGAATTCCACTTATCTTTTTAGAATGTGGGTCTATAGGAGAGGGAGGCTATTTGGGAAATGTGTGTTCATAGCTTATACAGTTTCCAGAAACTACCAAGCCTCATCTAATGGGACTACCATGCTGATGATGACATCACAGAAAGGGACACTATGGTTCCCTGGCCCTGGGAACAGGGCGAGGCAAGCCTGGGTGGGTAGGACATAGGATTCCCACCTAGCCTACGTCTTCTAAACCTCAACTCAGTCCTTAAGGGAAGATGTTCTGCCAGCAGATCCATAAACTCCACGGGGCTGGAACAAAGCCAAGTAGTTGGCCAGCCTGCCTTGCCTGTATTGAAGCCGGTGTGTAATTACAGCAAGTACTATACAGCTAAGGAGTCATGTTTACTTTCAGAGAATAAATCTGCAAAGTAACACAGGACTTAAAGTTCTCGACATTCAAATGGCAAATCTTACACTGAATGTGCAGAATAAAATCAGCCATTTGCCAGTCTCCCTGAAGACAGCCCAGGAAACTAGAAGTTGAGTAACAAACAGATCAAAGCATGTTGGTGGACGTATCACAGAATGCTCAACCTTATTATACAGCTTCCCTTATGAACTCCTCAAGGGCAATGTTCAGCACACTGGTCTGAGGACAAGTGCCTAATAAAGTTGTGTTAAATACATGTATTTTCAAATGATTCATTTTTATCTCACATGTGATATTTATTTACTTATATGGTGCTGGAAAATGAGTCCTGGGCCTTGTACATCCTAGGCAAGTTTTTCACCCCTGAAATGCAATCCTACCCTAAGCCATGCTTTTTTGTGTTCACAGAAGCAAGAGGCATTGGGGGGTTAGCCTTTGGATTAGTTCACTGATAGCGAAAGACAGTGTACTTCAGTGTTTGCTTTGGCTTGATCCTGATCGTGTTCTAATCTGGGTAGAACAATGGTATCTATCCTTGGGACAGCTACGAAGGAAGTGCTGCTACCACAGATAGCACGTTATATACTCACAAAGCTTTTAGAAATGGGAAAATTCTGGAAAGTCATTTAACAGACAAGTGACCTCTGGAGGCCAGGCATATCCATAGCTCCTGGCTCCAACCAGGGCCTAGATGTACAAGGCTGAAAGCAGGGAGGTAAATCATTGCAGGAGGAAGAAAGGCCTTATCCTTCAGCTCATCGACAAGACAGAGGAGGGACCAACTATAGACCGGGGAGACAGGCCTGCAGAGAGAGGATACCACCTGCCTTCCTTGCATGTTCTAGGAGCACTAGAAGGAAGCACGGGGCTTGTACCACCCAGGGAGCTTTTGAGAAGCATCTCCTGTAAGGAAGATGGCTCCATCCCATGTAAGTGGATCCTCCTTACACAACATCCTTCATGTAGCACTGCAGTGATAGGCTCCATTCCTTTTAACAAAATAACAAAGTACAGGGAGAGAAGGAAGATAGGGTAGAAAACCATCCAGCAGCCACAACCAAAGTCATCCCCATTCCAAGTGTAATAGCTGTAGAGGGCTGTCTTCCATACAAATACTAGCCTTGATAACCCTGCTTAGCTTCCAAAAATCACACGAGATTGTGCCTGTTCGGGGTGGTATGGCTACAGAAGGGGGATGTTCTATTGCAGAGCAGAGCTGGACTGGGAAGCCAGCCTGTGCTGCCATTGTGATTTCTGTCCTCGGGCCTTTGGGCTACTGGGTTTATGGTCTGGCCACAAATACATGATGTTAAGCTGTGAGGACAGTGTTCAGAGCCTCAGCTTTAGAAAGTTAATGGAGTAAACACCAGAGGCACTCCTTAAAACTAAGCTCAGACTTTCTCCTACTTGTCCAAGGCTAAATGAACTCCTTCTTTTAGAACCCTTCCACGTGTATAGTAAGCCTAGAAAACAGCAGACCTATTTCCAACACCACATGGACCAATCTCATTCCACACTCCTGCTCCCTTTGGCCCCAACTCTCCTCCTAAGAAAGCTATGTTAGAGATGGCCAAGGACTGGACACCCACACCACAACCCAGTTGGACTAGCAGGAAGTCATGAGTTTGGGCTGCCAAACTTGGGAACAGGCATCACTAACAAGTTCCCACCCATCTGCAGGGCACACACCTACCTGGGGCTTGTCAGTAGAAAGGCTGGGGTGCACGCTTCGATAGCCCTTGGCAGCAAGTGGGGAGGGCTGGGCATTGCCATTGGCATCAGCACTGGAAGAAAGTCTCCTCTCATCTGAGAAAAGAAAACAAAAACCAAAACCCCCATCACTCACGGGTAATACCCGCTGGCTTTCCTCTAATTCCCTGGTGCCCCAAGGCACAGAAGGTAAGAATGAAAGAAAAGCCATACCTGCTGAAGGGTCCTCCTCTGGCTCCAGGCCTGTGCGAGGAGCAAGAAGGTGAAAACAAAAAGAGAAAGGCAGAAACAGTTACGTTTGCGGGAAGCAAGCATGAGGCACACTGGCCGATGAAAATCAGCAGCCCTTGTCTGACACAAAACACCCTCAGTCACCACGGCCCCATTACCATAGGAACCCACTTGAAACCATGATGTGTTCACAGGCGCTGACCTTTGAGAACACAAGGCTACATTCACAGGAATGAAGTAAACAATTGTTCCTTGACATTCTTACTCTACAGACTGCAAGGCAACAGAACTCTCTGTTGTCCAGTCCTTCTCTGTCTCATTCCCAGACCAAAGCCTGCTGTAGGCTCAGCAGGAATGCACCTCACTTAGCAGTCTGGGTTAATTAATTAATGGGCCCCCGCAGTAGAACATGACTGAAGCCTCAAAAAATGTTTTTGTTTGGGGAGGTTAGTTTGTTTGTTTGTTGATCCCTGTCTCCATTCCATTAAACAAGGCACAAAAACATTCACAATACGGGCTGGAGAGATGGCTCAGCAGTTAAGAGGGCTTTGTGACACAATCAAGAGGACCAGAGTTCAGATCCCAGTACCCACAGAGCAAGTCAGGAATCCCACAAATGCCTGCAACTCTAGCTCCAAGGAATTTGAAGCCCTTTTCTGGCCTCCATCAAGGGGGCGGGGAAGGGGGAGAGAGGAGCACACATAAATAAATCTAATTTAAAAAGGTAGAAGAAAATTCCACACCTGATTTGATTTCACATGACAGATCAGTGTCAAAATGAAGGTGTGCTAAAAAATATAATAGGTTTACACGTATGAGTTACGTAAACACAAATGAATCTCATGTTTAGGCTTGGGTTCCTTCCATAGCAATCTCCATTATTTATAACGCAAACGATCTAAAACCTAAAAGAAAAAGGTCTGAAATACTTCTGATCTCAAGCACTTCAAATAAGACCCCGTGACTCTGTCTGTGACTGTTTATCATAACAAGGAACAGCCACAGATAATCCATAAATGAATGAGCTGTGTTCCCAAACACCCTTACTTATGAACATTAAATTCTGAATTTCAAAGGCTTTCACGTGGTATATAATATCACTCTCCTTTGCATTTTTCTATCAGCCATTTAAAATATAAGTCATTCTTAGCCAACAAGCTGGATTTTGCTCTTGGCCAGTTTGGCCACCCCTACTCTTGCAATCCTTTCACAAGCCATCCCTCTGTTTCCTGATGAGCCTCCTTTCCTCACTCCTGTAGAGACAAGCAGGGGACTCATTGTCCTTGAAGGACAAGCCTTCACTGTGGGTCTCTCAGACCAACGGTAGATTTTCCAGATGACAAGTTGAGATGTACAGACATTTGTTGAGATGTGCAAACTATGTGCCAGACGTGGCTACACTTTACACCTATTTAGTGTTTAATTTAATTAAATGCTTAATGTACTTCATGGATGAGCAAACAGAGAGGCCAAATGCTTTGCCGACATCAGAGAGCCTCACACAGGAAGGGGCAAAGGAGTACAGTGCCCCAGCCACCACCCACAGTGGCCAACTATACCAGTAGCCAGGGAGATGCTGCAGCCAGAAGCTGGCAGAGCAAAAGGCAGGGCAGGTGGCCTACATCCCACGAATAGCATGGTCTAGCTGCGTCAGTCAGGGAGAAGTCTTGGTAAATCCAGATTGATGAGTCTTACTCTAGTACTTATGATCCAGCAAGAGAGATGGGCTTAAGTGTTTGCATTTCTAACAGTTACTGATGCTGACACTGGTAGTTCACAACCTAACTCTAACAACTACTAGATGGCACACTCAAAACTATCCTTATTTTGGGACACCCCTCAAGTCACACTGGCAAACAGTCATGCCATGAAAATTGAGGAGTGACTGCTAGTCTAAACCTGTAGGCATCAGAAGGACGTCATCCTCATACAGCCAGATCACTTCCTGTGAGCTCAATTGTCTGCCTTGTTGACTGTTCATCCTCATCTACAAAACAGTCACAGGGATGGGAGAGATGGCTCAATTTGTTGCTCTTGCAGAGAACCCAGATTCAAGTCCCAGCTAGTTGGTTTTCTTTAAGGGTGTGAACATCAACATGGTCATTCAAAACCAACCCTAACTCCAGTTCTAGGGAATTCGATGTTCTTTTCTGATCTCTGCAGGCAAAACATTCATACACATAAAATAAATCTAAAAATATTAAAATAAAATACATGGCTTAAAGTATGAGATTATAAAACTGGAGTCTATAGCACACAGAGAGAAATCCCCACAGATATAAATGACAGGGTATGCGTGTGTTGTTTTTTGTGTATTTTACATCAATGTGTAGAATATACATGTGTGTATATATGTGTGTGTGTGGAGGCTATAGGCCAACAGCTGAGTATCCTGAGGTCTTTATCCATCTTGCTTTTTAAAACAAGGTCTCTCACTAAACTTGGCACTCACTGATTCAACTAGATTGCTCACCGTGCGCTCTCTCTCTCTCTTTCTCTGTCTCTCTGTCTCTGTTTCTCTGTCTCTCTGTCTCTCTCTCTCTCTCTCTCTCTCTCTCTCTGCATTGGGGTTACAGACATGAACAACTATGCTGGGCTTTAACATGGGTACTGGGGACCCAAGCTCAGGGTCTCATACTGAGCAGTGACACAGCCCTGTCTGTTTTTGAAACAGGGTTTTACTATATAATCTGGCTGATGTGGTATTTGGTGTGTAGCCCAGGCTGGCCACAGACTCAGCAATCCTCTGTATTCTGCCTCCCTAGTGTTGAGATTACAGGTGTGCACCACCATATCAAACCTAAAACACCAGAAAATTCCCAAAGATGTAAATTGTAGTATATGCTCTCTCCATTTAGTAAATTCAAAGTCATACTGTCCTGGGAAAATGACTTGGATGTTTTTTTCTTCTCATTTCCAGTCTTCAAAACTGTTTCCCCTCACTGTGCCCAAAAGGGAAGTTCCCAGGATCTCAACAAGCAGCTTGGTTACTTACTGAAAAAGAGCAAATCTGTGGCATTTTGTCAGCCCTCATCCATTATCTTTTCTTCTGAACCTGGAAGGTTGGTAGCAGTCCAGGGCCAATTATATTTGAGTGCACAAAGTGAAGTTTTACATACATAGTCATCAATTACCGACTGCTGATGGAAGAGACTGTCAAGATGCTTCCTCCAATAAAATGGAAGGCTGGCTTGTAGATGGATGTGCAGTCTGAAGATGCTCAACCTTTCGGTGAAAAACATAATCTACTTTGCCTTGTATCCTATCTGCCCTTTCTGTACTTTTCTGCCCTGTGCCTAAAAGCCTCCAGATATCTGCTTTCATCTTATTCAATGTCTAATTTCATTTCTGGTTTCTTGTTTATTTTTTAAAAAAACAATCAGTTCTTCTTGGGGGCTTCCGATGCTTTTCACTAAGGCAGACACAGCAAGGTCTAGAAAGAACTCACAAGGTAGATATGTGCTAAAGGCAGGTCTGCATGTGTTTCCACTCACACGTGTACCTTCCTTTTATTTATGTGACATATTGGAGAATTTCATATCATGAATTAAAAGGTCTGACCTTCACTCTAGGCTTCTGGGACGTAATTGCCAAGTCCTTGGAATGCTACACTGAATAGGAATGTCTTGTTTACCTGAGGACTTGAGCCACACCAATATGATTTGGAGCCAGGGCTTTGGGCCAGTAAGAGCTTCACTGCCTACTAGAGTGGATATAAGACTCCAAGAAAGACAATGGTACGCACCTATGTTCAAGCCCCAATAAAACTTTAGATAGAGGCTTACACACTGATGCTGGGAAATAATGTGTCTGGGATGCTTTAGTATTTTCCCAGACTCTATACCATGCACTTCTCTGGGTTGATTTTAAACTCTACCCTTCCCCTGTAGTAAATAAGCAGGCCCCTTCAAGCATTAGCACAAGCCTGAGGTGTTTTGAGGAGCCCCTAAATTTGCAGTTGACGTCAGAAGAAATAGGGCTGTCTTGGGAGGCTCTTTCCTCTAACTTTTCAGTTGGCCCTAATTCTCACACATATACTCATAATAAAGACTGATTTAATGGGTAAAGAGGGTCTAATTTATGAGACATTTGCCACTGCCAAGACAAGAGTGTTGCAAGATATTTGTACACTCTGTGAAGATGCATTGCTGTGGTTGATTTAATAAAAAAGCTGAAAGGCCAATAGCTAGACAGGAGAGGTTAGACAGAACTTTTGGGCAGAGAGATGAACTCAGGGGGTTAGAATGTAGGGGTGTGAGAGATACCAGCAAGACACAAAGCAAGTTGGACATACAAAACGGAAGCAAAGTAAAAAGCTACACGGCACAACATCGATGAACAGAACTAACAGAGACAGGCTAATTTAAGTTATAAGATCTAGTTGGAAACAAGCCTAAGCTAAAGACCAAGCTTTTATAATTAATAATAAGTCTCTGTATATCATTACTAGGGAGCTGGTGGTCCAGCTGCAGACAAGAAAATATGAGAACCACACAAGAGGAAATGAGTTCATTGTGGCTGCAAATCATTCTGTCCTAAGACAACTTTGCAGCAAACACTGGGTCAACTAGCACAGCACCCAGAATGCAAGGAACTGCTATCCTCGAGCCTGGCAAGTGAGTCAGGGGACAGCCTCTAAAGTAACAAGTGACAGGGCTCCAGACCACACCAGAGAAAAACAAAAAACGGGGAACTGCACCCACCACCAGTGCCGACCCCTTCACTGCTCTTCCAAAACACAAAACAGCAACAAAAGCCACTGGCCTAGGACACTGATGGGGTCACTCTGAACTGACACAGCAAACTCCCGGACATGGCTGGGTAGTAAGATCATGACACAAGGATAAACGTAATGAGGCTTCTCTTAGGTGGGAGGAGTCAGTACTGAAATTATTTCTACTATTCTCGGGTGGTTCTAATCCCGAGGTCCAAGGTCCATAATTAGAGCTGAGGTGTTAGTCAGGGACCTGGGGTCCAGTCACCACTCAAAAACAGGACTCTGGGGCTACAGAAATGGTTCCCTGGTTAAGGGCCCTTACTGTTCTTTCAAAGGAACCCTCATTCAGTTCTCAGCACCTATATGGGGCAAGGGAGAAACTTGCAACCACCTGTAACTCCAAGTCCAATGGCGTTTGTCACCTCTGCTCTCCATAGACTCCTGCACTTATGTACGCACACACCAGAGACACATACGCACACATAATTAAAAATACAATTTAAGTGTATACATTTTAAATCAGGAGTCTGAATAGTGGGCTTAAACAGGCCATCTCTCAGGGCCCTAGCTTCTTTCTCCCTGGTCTGATGCTCACACCTGCATTCCATTTTGGATATAGCGATCTACTACAGAAGATTTCCCGATGTTCCAAGAGTTCATGTGGATGCGCAGGACTCCTATAGTCTCACTGTGGACTTTAACTTCCAAATGCCTCCTAGGAATTCTCCTGGAAGCCCTTCTCTTGTCAGGAAACCCAGTACCACCACCACCACCACCACCACCACCACCACCACCACCACCACCACCACCACCACCACCACCACCAATAATAACAAAGAAAAAGAGGCCATGATTTTAGTGAGAGTAACAAAGACTCAGGGCTCACGAGTGAGGCTGGAGGGGGAAAAAACGGTAAAATGAAATTACACTATAATTTTTGTTGTTTTGTTTTTCAAGACAGGGTTTCTCTACGTAGCCTTGGCTGTCCTGGAACTCACTTTGTAGACAAGGCTGCCCTTGAACTCACTGAGATTTGCCTGCCTCTGTCTTCCAAGTTCTGGGATTAAAGGCAAGCACTACCACAGCCTGGCTACCATAATCTTTTTTATAAAAACCATTAAATTATTTTTTAAAAATATTTGCACCAAGCAAAAGAATGTCTGTGTACAAGAGATAAAATCAGACCCTCAAAAAGGGAAAAAATGTGCACGACTGATAACTGCCTCTTAGTTCTTCCAAGTATTTGTAGTGTAAGAAATTTTAAAGACTTGCTGAAAAGGATTAAGTTCTTTCCCTCCGAACTGAAGGAATTATCATAGGGCAAAAGATGATGCTACCTAGACCACTTCAACTGCACACTATTCTGTAGCACAGTAGTTCCATCCGTCACATGCTCCACAGAGAGAACCGAGTTCTGTATCAGTGCCAGCTACAACCACTAGAGGGAGCCTCGAGCCTTTCACAAGCCCTCTTCATTGCCTAAGGCCACTGGTTAAAGTTGCTTCACAGGCTTTTTTCTTTTTGGATCATCTCTCTTTCCCCACACATCCTCCAGCCTTCTAAAGAAATTGTTTTGCCTTTCTTCTCACCCGCATCTTTCCCAGAGAAGAGAAAAATTTCAGACTGTAACAGGTCAGGAATCAAGAGTAGACTTGGAAAGCCAAGAAGCCCTAGGCCATCCTCTGGTGCTGAGGACTGCTCAGGTCTTCCCTACAATTAGGAACAAGGATGAACTCCCCAGGATCAGTATTACCTCTAAGGAGCTTGTGATTGGATCCTAGTCTGACTTCATTCTCAAGCATCTTCCCTAGTACCCATTATAGGTGGCTGACTCAGGAAGTCAGCAGAAGCGAGCATTACCCATTTGCATCATCTATAATTCCACCATGTCACAACAACTGCCTCCCACTGTATCAAAAGTTGAAAGCCCTCTTCCCTTTATACTCTGGTTCCAAGAGTGTGCTAACCTTCCTAGTTTCAGGGGGGGGGCATTTCCTGTAGCCATTTTCAAATGTGGTCCTTGGGACACCTCCATAGCATGAACTCAAAACTTGTCAAAGACTCTGGGCTAGAGAGATGGTTCAGTGGTTACAAGCCCTGGCTGCTCTCCTTTTTTTAAAATTTAAGTTAAAAACAAGCTTGCTTCACATGTCAATCCGAGCGCCCTCTCCCTCCCTTCCTCCTTCTCCCCACCAGGCCCCCCAGTCCCCCACCCAACCTCCACTCCAATCCCCAGGGAGGGTGAGGCCCTCCATGGGGGATCTCCAGAGTCTGTCACTTCATCCAGGGCAGGGCCTAGGCCCTCCCCCAAGAGTCCAGGCTGAAAGAGCATCCCTCATTGTGGGATGGGCAGCCAAAGTCCATTTGTATGCCAGGAATGAATATTGATCTACTACCCAAGGCCCCATAGATTGCCTAGGCCTCCTCACTGACACCCACATTCAGGAGGTCTGGATCAGTCCCACGCTTTCCATTCCCTGGCTGCTCTTCCAGAGGTCCTGAGTTCAATTCCCAGTAACCACATGGTGGCTCACAACCATCCATAATGAGATCTGGTGCCCTTTTCCATCATGCAGAAATACATGCAGGCAGACCACTATATACACTAAATAAACAAATAAAGTCTTTTAAAAGTAAGACTTACAAGCAGGTACCACAAGTTTCAAACTCTGGGCCGGGCCCATCTTGCCTGTCTACTTCTGATGACTGATGCAGAGAAAATGATATCCCAATAGAAAGTTTAGAGACTGAACTACCCCAAACTACAGTAGGGATCACTAGATTGTGCCATTCACCCAAAGCACACGACTACCACTCAGTTCAGGGCTTGACCCACTAATAATCACAGAAGGGACAGAAGTCATGGTCTTGGGGACCCTGGAGAAGGACCCGGCTGAAGAAACTCACAGCATCCCTCCCCAGCCCTGCAGAACCACGGGGACACCTGCCTTCCCTTCCGCGCATGTCCCCTCCCAGTCTCCAGGGCAGCACACCTGACTTGCTCTCATGCTTTGGAGATTCCTGAGGGCTCACAGGGCTGCTGCTTGGAGTTTCCCTGTAGGAAGATGAGGCCCGAAGAGTCACCGTGCCTTTTCCAGTGCAGATTTTTGTAGGGTCCATGTCTGCAATGAAAAGATCCAAAGGAGAGAGTTAGATGAAGCAAGACTCCCAAGGGAGTTCCAAGCTAGTCCGTTAACAGATGGTTACAGCAGGGGCATGAGATGAACCCGGTACATCTACGCCTACCAGTACTCTCCAACCATTTATGACCAATCTATGACCAATGAAAATTAATCTGAGGCAGCATCATGAGATTAGGGAGAAGAGGCAAGGTATGTGCTGAGTAAATGCATCAGTTATGACGTCAGCTGAAAACATGACCCAATGAAAGCCGGCTCATTCCTTCCACGAAATGAAGTTTAAGTTGTTAAGCAGATTTCTGGCCAGTTAGTAAGGCATGGCTCAGGAGAGAGTTTGTGAAAAGATCTCTCAAGCTTGCAGACCACCCTTGTCAAAAAAGAGCCAGCAGGCAACGAGGCGCATTGGGAACATCCTGAAGCGAATCGCTGCCGCTTGCATCTCTTGTTGGTCAAGACCCCTGAACTCTGAGGCAGGAGGAGGCACTCTTCATGGATGGGAGATTTCACAGTCCAACATAATGAGAGAACACGCAGCCAGGAAAATAGCCAGACAGGCTCAGTATCCACACAGCACACCAGTATCCTCTGAACCTCTTGCTTAATCTACACAGACTCCCAACTGTCCACCTCAGAGGCACCAGGGTCCATAAAAGACCCTGGACATCTTTAAGAAGACTCTCAAAGCAGTCATCCACATCCAGGGCTATGTGTCCCTAGTCCCTCCCTGGATGTCTTAAACCACAGACAATACTCAGCCTGCATGAGCAATGTCTTCTCCGACACAATTTAAAACCTTCGAAGAGTTTCTGGAAAGCTTTATTTAGTATTTTTGACTGTGGTTCACCATAACTAACTGACACTGTGGTTAATAGGGAGGACTGCTTGCTTTAACAGGCCGGGGCCCATCCTTCAGGAAAACCAGTGGTGAGGGAGGAACTGGTACAGACCACACAGTTTCACATAGTGCACATGTCAAGTGTTTCCTTGTATGCAGCTGAGCTAAGCCAACTCCACACTCATTTCCCACACCCCCAAAATGCCCAGAATCCAGCTTCTATACTCAACCCACACTCACTTCCCAACCGCCCATACTGCTCAGAATCCAGCTTCCTGATCTAAGTTTCTACAGGGAGGATGAGAGGATGAAGAGAGTGTCTCTGGGCAGGACTCAGCATGATGCCCTTGTCTGTTCCTGAGTGTGCAGCCAAGCTTCCTTCCTCCCCACTCTCAATCCCTGCCCAGCAGTCCCCTTCCATGGCAAGGAAAGCGCGCGCATGCGGCAGATTCACAGAGGACCTAACCCCATCAAGAGAGTAAGTGGCTGGTGTTACAGAACCATCGGGAAAACCAGTCAATCCACAGGGGTAAGGGGCAAATTGGCAAGTCCACAGTCCATCTGCATCATCCTGGACACACAGATCTGCACAGCCTCTGAGCTCCACTCGTCCCTCTTTGTCTACAGGAAACTTTGAGTCAGAGTCACAAATGAACCGTTGGCTGGGGAATTGACTGCAGGTGAAGTTAGCGAGGGGCTGGAGTGCTCTGGGGAGTGGCCCTGAGTATCCCACAGGGAAGCAACATCCAACATCTACAGAAGCTGCTTCTCATTCAGCCTGGCTCAGAGGTTCTCTGAGAGGCCGGGTTGACTCTCCCAGAAACTTGTGTTTGCACAGAAGTCTCAGGAATTGCAAAGTTCTTAGGAGAGCCCTATCCCAGAGTGAAGCTCAGCCTCTGCTCTAACTAACCCTTCTAAAGCAGGAAGGGCCAGACTACAGCCTCAGCCTCTTCCCTACTCCCTGGCTTACAGACAGACCACACACACACACACACACACAGAGAGAGAGAGAGAGAGAGAGAGAGAGAGAGAGAGAGAGAGAGAGAGAGAGAGAGAGAGAGAGAGAGAGAGAGAGAGAGAGAGAGAGAATTTAGGGGAAGGAAATGCCTTCCAAACATGCAAGGATTAGGGCTCACAATATGGTGTTAGAAACTAACAAGAGAAAAAAGCATGCATGATCGACAATTAAAAGAAACAGCCCCAAAGAGAGATACCTGGAGGGAGTACTAGGCCTGAAGGGCTTTTCAATGTCTTCACGGGAATTATTTTAACAGCGGAGACAGAACGAGCACGTAAAGGGTCGGCAGTTGCTGAAAACACAAAAGGGTAAACGGTGCATCTACAAAGACCATTTGGGAGACGCTCACGCAAGGCAAGTCGAGGAACTGTGAGAGACAATGGAAGGAAGTTGCCCATGCTAAAAGAACAATGCTAAGAGCAGTAGATGGAGTCATTAAAAATAGCCCGCTGTCTTTCTCTAAGGTTCTGGGCCAAGACAGCAGAAGCCTTTCTCCACCCATCACTCAGACAGAGTTGGTTGGTGTTTATTGGCGCCTCCTGGCACACTAGGAGCTTGCCAAGGCTCTGGACAAAGAGACGCACAGAGACACAGATGGTCTGGAAAGTAGAGGAAGGGGGACACAATCAGAGTACAAGGGGTCCCCTGGTAAATGTGGGTCATCTACGATGCAATCGGAGCTTTGAGGACAGGATCATGGTTTCAGCAACAGGAGGAACATTCTCGTAGATTGCCTGATCCCTTCAGCCCTCACAGTTGCTTCTCCAAAATCGTACCTTTTAGGATGCTGTGCCTGCCCTGACAGCCATCACCCTCTGACCTCAAGCAAATCAAAACCCCCATCTGTTGGGAAACAGATGGCCTCGCTCAAGCCCACCCTTTCCTGGATGAGGTGTCAAGTGTCCAAGTGGATAATTAAGGCTCTGGACAGCAGCACAGTACACAGTGCTGGATGCTGAGACCCTGCTCCTTGCCTGCCTAGACCCCCATCTCAGTGGCAGGCCCATGCCCAAACCTCTTGTGAGGGTTCCCTCAAGCTTCCTCGGTGCCAAAGCAACCCTGATGGACTGTGCCCAAGGAGTAGGACTGCTTGGAAATAAGAGACTCAGCATCACATGACCGGGTTGTCAAGGAGGCAGGAAGGAGGATGGGAGGCACCTTCAAAGTGGACAGAGGCTCTCCTGCCCATCATGCTGCTGCTTTGGAAAGCATACAGCAGGTACGGAGTAGATGTCTGCAATAACTAAGTCAAAGGTGACCTTTCTGCCTGCACCTATCGAGATAGAGTGAACTTTCACAGGCATCCCGTTAACTAACTACCTAATCATTTGGGAGACTGTGTCGGGGTGGGGGCAGATTTGGCATGCCAATTTTCAGAGGAAGAAGTAAGAGACGAAGCCAACCACACAGACACTCTGTTCTTAAGGGCAGAGAAAGTAGCTCAGTTATCCTGGCTCTGTGACCTTAGCAAGCCACTCTGATGAGCTTTAGGTTATACCTGCCTCCTTGTTTCCTACCAAAGGTAATTCTTCCTGTGTTCCCACTCCACACCCCCAAAACAAAACAAACAACAAAAAACTCTGAAGCCTCTTCTATAAAGAGATTTACAGAGTAATAGTTCCAGGATTTCAAAAGCCTCTTCCATGTTCCTAGATTAAATACCCCTTGCAGCCTTTCCACAGCACTGTCCCTCCATATTCTCAAAGTGAAAAATAGCCAAGATGCACCAGACCTCAAGAACACAGCCCACGTGAACTGAGACAGTGAACACAGGAGGGGGACCAGACAACACTGACCTCCCGTCTCCAAAGAGCTCAGCCTCATGCCACCCAGACCCATACTTCCCATCTTCTACCCTCTCTCTGCCTTCTTTCTCCAGTGATTCCCTTTCAATGACCGTCTTGCCATCTCAAAGGGATTATTTGGATACAACTGATGAAAATTACAAAGGCTAAACATGGCAAACTCTGAAATTACACCTTGAGAAATGTTGCATTTGTTTTTTTTTAACTTCAATGCCCCATGCTGGGATTTTAGCCTCTCCTCACTGATACTGTGGAACACTGATAGATAAGAGTTCATGGAGTCACTGGAGCCCAGGATAGGATGCAGAAACAAACACTGAGCTCAAACTCCTTACTTCTGTAGATAAGAGAACTGGCACCTGCAGAGATAAAAGGGCCCCCTGCATGTCTGTTTTTCCCAGGCAGAACTGGAATTAAGAACTTGCTCCTATCACCTCATACTGCAATAGCTGTCAGGTTGGGGTGAGAATACCCTGGGCAAACAGGACCTCAAGAGTCTTTTTTGTTTTGTTTTGTTTTGTTTTTTAAGCAAACGGGCTTTATTAAGTAGAAAAGTGGAAGCCCTCAGTGGCTCAGAGGGAATAGCAGAGAGGGGCCCAGAAGTGGGTTGCCCGGTTCTAAAACCCCTTCTTACCACATCATTCAGCTCACACGACTGTCTCCTATTTGGGATAGTTTCTAAAGTGAAAACAGGAGGACGGAGAAGGCAGCTTAGTGGGAAAGCGCTTGTCCACATGTGCAAAGCTCTTCGTTGACTGAATCGCCAGCACAGGGTTGGGTGGTGGTGGGGATGTTAAAATTTTGAGAGGATATACATAAAACTAATGACCCGGAAGTAATTTTTTCACAGGACTGTGGATGTGTCCCTACTCAGGACAAGTGAAGGTGGCATACCATATACAGGTAATTCCAGGCCAATGGGTGCCATGTGCACCAGGCATGACACTTACCGGGCACAGTCTATGTGATAATCTGTCATCCCCAGCACCCTTGTGAGCACACCCTCTCACAGCTGGAAAAGACAGCTTCAGAGTAGGCCCACAGCTCAGGTCTCAGAAAGCCACCGTGGGAACTAGGCCTCCTAAGATAAGGCCGATGGTGTCTTCCCCAGAAGGGTGGGAATGGCCCCTGCCCAGTGTGCCCTGCATCTCTTCTAGAAGTGCTTCCCCATACCAAGTCAGGCTTCTCTTCAACAACCTTACCTTTGTCTTGCACATGGCTGCCAGGTGCCAAGCCATTCACAACAGCTTTAGAGCTTCCAACATCACACTCTGAAAGAAAGAAGAGGAACAGAAGTTTTGTGACCATGCCTGCTCGACAGAGTCCCATGTGGTATGAGGTGGGACAAAGTTGAGGCACTCCGCCCCAACAGAACGGCTCTGTCCATACACATCCTATCAGCTTTCTCGGGCCTGAGACAAGTCCCCTAGAGCACACGGGGAGTTCTGAACGCCTTAAGGCCTGCCAGAGAGAATGCAAGAGCTATTTGGGGATAGGAAGTATGTTGAGGGGCATACAAATGCTATTGCTTCCCTGGAGTGGCTTCCTTTGGAATGTAAAGTGTCGAACCCCATGTTCAACTTGTCAAATACAACCTGTCTTTCCTATAAAGTGCCTTTACATTGCCCCTTTCCACCAGTCTAGAACCTTGTGTTACTGTCCCAGAGATGGCTGTGGTGCCCCGTGGGGTCCTAACCACTCCTTCCACTCCCTTTCTATTGAAGCCTCATCTACATTTGGAGTCCAATGCTTCCTGCCTGGTCTCAACTCTGAGTGTGAGAGAGATTTTCATATGCAGGCCTTGGCTCCAAAACCCTCATGCAGAAGACCCCTTGCCCTTTCCTTACTTTGGGGAAGTCCTATGAGTCCTTGGGGACCACCTTGACCACCACCTCATTATCACTTCAGATGTTCAGAGTTCTGCTCAGCAGCAAACAACACTGAGCCCCTCCTGCCTGGCAGGTTCTCCATCCATCACTCCCGGGACCAGTCCACGAAAGACCAGAGACAGGAAGAGAAGTCACCCCGGGTTATGTGGCCAGTGTGCTTGGGAGAACCCACCCAGCAAAATGCCAAAGGAGCTACAAACATAATCATTAACTACAGTTCTTTAAACATGTTTCTGCCAGGACTGCGAGTCTATGTTGAGTATTAATTACTACTTCATTGTCTCCTTCAGGTCCAGTCCTTGAGAGCTAGAGTTAGGAACTGCAATCCTGTTGATAAGATAATTGAGGCTCAGCTTGTTTGTTTTGTTTTTTGGGTTTTTTGGGGGGGAGGGGAGTACCTGTGTGCTACCACCAGGCCCACATTCCTTCTTTCCCCCTTTCCTTTTTTAATTAAACATAACAACCGAACTGGAATAAGCATTTGGTACTTACTAATTAACACTCAAATAAAGCTCAGCTTTTGCAGCAATTATGTTGCTGTACAGCAACCCACGTTTGCCTCTCCTCCACGAGCATTGGCAACCACACACAGGTGATTAATTCCTTGAAGCTCTTCCCCATCTGTATCTCAGAGGCAGCGAGCAGGCCCAGTCCCCGGGAGTGGTGTGTGTGTGTGTGTGTGTAGGGCTGGGGTGGTGATATTTATGATTTATTAAAACATGACTAAGGATTCAGAAAGCAAAGCCAGCTATAGATGTCAGTCAGTGGTGATACACACCTTTAATCCCAGGCAGATAGATCTCTCTGAGTTCAAGGCCACCATGGCCTACACAAGGATGAGGAGTAACAGTGCTTGTGCTTTTAATCCCAGCACTAGGGAAGTATAAAAAGCAAAGGGTGTTTCAGCCTGGGGTAGAGGTGAGAGCGAGCTGGTGGCTTGGCTGCTTTGCTTTTCTGATCTTCAGCTTGAAGACCGAACCCCAGTATCTGTCTCTGGGATTTTAGTTTTCGTGTTACAGAGTGGGGCACAGCTTTCCAGGAGAATGAAACAAGACCTTGCAAGAACAGTGATTCCCTCAGAGTGGCAGCCCAAGAGCAACTGAAATAATAACAATATGTTGTCTTACTGCCATTCTTTCCACTAAGATGCAACCAAATAATTTCCATGGAGCTACTCCCCTCCCTGTGATCACTTTCATCGCAAGCAGACACACAGTGTACAGCTGCTCCCTCCCCACCTTCATGGTAGTATTTCTACTTCCTTGGAATTAATATAGAAATTCCCAAGACAGGATTAACAGGTCAAAGAGCCTAAGATTTTGGATCCCTGGATAAAGTTCCCTTCCGGTACCTGTCTGAGAGACTGGGGGAGGAAGGCACCCTGGTGTGTCTTGGTCCTTAGCACACCCTCACCTGACCTCCTCCTCCTCCTGACTCTAACACTGCCAGGAGTAGCAATGCAGGCTTAGAAGAGCAAAAGACTTCAGGCTGCTGAGCAAAGTTTGTTCTGTTTGTTTCTAAAAGGAAACAGGAAGGAGGGCCCAGCCTGTTACAAATGACAATAAAAGCCAAAAGGCAGGACTGAGGACATGGCTGGTCTGTCAAAACCACTGCTGACACGTGTGAGGCCCCAGGTTCCATCTCCAGCACCACATACATGTGGAGTGGGGGCATACACATGTAACTTCAGCACTCAGGAGACAGAGGCAGGATGAATGGGGCTTCCAGGTCATCCTTGCCTACAAAGAGAGTTCAAGGCCAGCCAGGGCTATATGGCACAGTGTCTAAAAACAAAAGAACTAACTAAAAGGCCAGTCAACAATAGAAACTGAGTCAGTAAGCAGCACATGTGTCTACTTTAGCACAGAAAAAAAAAAACATCAAAGGGGCCCAAGGCAAACCACAAACCTCACTTTGCAAGGAGGAACTCTGGACTAAGAACAGCAAGATACCACTCATGTAGGCATAGTGCTCAATACGTTAAGAGCTCTGCTACACTCAGTCTAAGAAAAATTCCAATGGATCAGTGTTATTACAATGTCTACTTCACAGAGGAAAAGAAAATGTACACCTAGACCCAAACTGCACAAGAAGTATATGAGAAAGGGTACAGTCTTAAGATGCTCCAGTCCATAGCTCTCCTAGGCCTCACCACACACAGTCCTATGCGGCTCAGGACTTGGCTAAATGAGCACTGTATGTAAATAAGTGGGAAAGGCCTTTTAATCTATAGGAGTCTCTGAATATGGTGCAGGATTAGAAGAACCCTGGATGAGATACTCACCATCACCACCTGCAGGTCTAGGAGGCCGAGGTGGGACCAATTCCCAGAAGGAAACATTTCCAGGCTGGACACTGACAAGTCTCAGCTGCATAAGGCACAGGGATCTGTCCCCATTCTCTCTTCCCTGCTCCAAGCTTTCAATCCCAATTTAGTCCAAAACTAAAAATACTTGAAACAGTAATTTATTTAGATCTTTATTCTTAAAAGCATAAGTTAGCTGTTCTGAAAGCCGGATAAAGGAAGTGCTGGGTTAGTCCCCATCCTGGGAAGATTATGATTAAATTGTGTATTTTGCATCAATCATCTAGATTAAGAAATGCAACTAAGGTGTAGAAATATGACAAATTTTATCAACTGTCTACTTAAAATAGCTTCAGCTTATTATATGTTGATTATATCCTACTAAAAGGAAAGGGGGCTCTTGTAAAAACAGACATGGCACACACAGTGTACAGTAGAGTTCTTCATAGATGTGGGTTGAAAAATCATTTCCATTGTAAGTAGCAATGTTGCTGCTGAGGACCTTAAGGTATGTGACAATCTCAGTTTTGTAGGTATGACAAGAGAAAGCCGGGGTTTGAAATGACTTACCAGAACTCATGCTGGTAGAGGGGCAAGTCTTCTACAGCTGCGGTTCCGGATGGCTCTGCAGGAAAGCACACGATGGAGTGAATGAATGGCAGCTGCATGACAAATCCCCACAGTCAGTGTTAAAAATGCAAACACTGTAAGCCTTGGTCAAACAGAGCTGAACTGGGAGCCACGTTGCCAGGTTTCCAGCCCTAGTCACAGATTTGGGGGACTTTGGGCATCTCACACAACTTCCTTGCTTCACTTTCGTCACCCCAACTATGTTTAGATGCAATCTCAGATCTCTTTCTAGCAACAAGTCAATTAAAAGCTTCAATTTTGTAAATGTTAAAAGAAAAAAAACCCATCATCTGAGGGCAATACGTAACTGTGGATGTTTACGGATAGCTCACAATGTACCAGGAAATGCTCTAGGTGCTTTAAATAATTTATTTGACTCATGACAGCAAGCACTAATGCAGTGTTAGTTCACAAATGAGACACAGGAGGTGAAGAAGCATGCCCAACTGTGCTGGAACTGATCATGGAAACTGGGTAGTCTGAATCACTGGCCAAGTGCCTAGGACTGCCCTCCTTACTTATGAGCAGAAACCATCTCCAATGCTCAAGCGAATAGCCCTCAGAATTAGGAGGTCTTGAATCAAAGGAAGCTTACAATGTGATGGCATCTTATTATCATCTGTCTCCAACAAAAGGTACCCATCTGTTTTTGTTTGGTTGGTTTTGATGGTGGTGAAGATCAAGCTCAGGGCATCAAGAGTACACTAACCAAAGAGTCAACCTCTAAGCTACATTGATGCTCAAACCAAACTGTATTAATATGTTTAGACAAATAAATATAGTGGTAGCACCTGCATGCAGGAGGATCAACAGTTCAAGGTCACCCTGACTATATAGTAAGTTTGAAGCCAGCCTTCACTATACGAGACAATATGCTGTCAACAACCACACCACCTTAAGCATGCGCAGTCTCATCTGAAGTTAAGCAAGGTTGGGCCTGATTTGTACTCAGATGGGAGACTATATGTAAACAAACACCACATACACACACACACACACACACAAACCTGTAACTTTTTGACAAATAAACATACCCTATAATTACCACCAAAGTCACAACATACAGCATTTTCACTACACCCAGAAAAGGTGCCTGTGTCTCCTTACAGTCAAGTATGTCACGCCAAGCTCCTAGGAACCACTGACTACTTACCATCACTATGGTCCCACTATTTTCTACAGATGGTACCACATATATGCATCCCTTTGTGCCTGCCTTCTCATATTTAGTATAACCCTTTTTAGAAAACAAATGGCTACATATGTGTTGTTTCCTTCTGGACTCCATTCTAGTCACTGAGCTATCTCTACCCAATAACCCACTACTTCTTACATAATCCTGAAACTAGGTAATGTAAGTTTTCCTACTGCATCCCTATTCAAAATCTTTTTGGCAATTTTCAGTCCTTTGCATTTCCTGTTTTGTTTTGTTTTGTTTTGTTTTGTTTCACACTGTACCCCAGACCCATCGAGAGCTCCTTTGGAGCCTAAACCTGACTCAAAATTGCTGCGGTCTCCTATCATGGCCTCTCAAGTGCTGGTATACCCAGCTAGATCCTTTGCATTTTCATGTAAAGTTTAAAATTGTCACCTTTTTTTCCCCCTGAAGAAGAGAAGGAAAGAAAAGGTTTGTTGGATTTCTGGTTGGGATTTTGTAGACTCTGCAATCGCTTTGGGGGAAACTAATGTTTTCACACTATTTGAGAGACCTGCTACTGAGCAGGACCCCTCCCTTCAGTCAGATCTTTCACTCCTCTCACCAATGATTCACAGGCCAGGAAGTAAGGGCCTTCAGCACCCAGTGGCTCCTCCCACACAGGACGCCTGCTGCTCAGTGCAGGTCTGTACTTCTATCTGGACTGCAGCATGCTCTCCCCTCCCCAAGGGAAGTGGAGACTGAGCCATAAAGAGAGGGCTGCTCACTCAGAACACTCCCATGTAAAAGAGAAAGACAGATCCATCCCACAAGCTGCATAATTGCAACCCAGAAATCCAACATGGAAAAGCAACGCTAAGCATTCATAACCCCAGTAACTGAGCCCAAGGATAATGAATTATGTGAAATGCTAGATAAAGAATTCACATCTACTTTTCAACATGATCAAAGAAGGCTCAATTAAGTAGAGACAAGTGAGACACAGAAATCAATCATGGATTTGTGTAAGAAATTCAGCAACTTCAACTACAAATGCAGAGACAGATTCCAAAAGAAAAATGTCAAGCAAATGTTAGAAACAGGAAGCTTAAAGAAAAAACAAACGCCACAGTGGAAAATATCACCAACATATTAGACCATGTGTAGAAAGACTATCAAGGGTTGAAAATAAATTGAGGACCCTATGGTATTCATAAACAACTTAAAAAATAAAATGTAATTATGACTATAACACCTAAGGCCTCTGGGATATAATTAACAGATCAAATCCACAAATCTATAGTGTAGAAAAGGGAACTAAGACACTATCAAAACACATAGAAAATCTATTCAGGGAAGGCTGGAGAGCTGCGTCCGTTGGTAAAAGTACTTGTTAATTTTCCAGAGGACCAGAGCTTGGCTCCCAGCACCTGTGTTAAGCAGTTCACAATTACCTATGACTGCAGCTCCAGGGGATCTGATGGCCATTTTTGGCCTTTGTGAGTGGACACACACACATGCATATATGGATTCAAGCATACAGACACACACACACACACACACACAAACACATACACACATATACAAATTTTAAAAATCTTTTTAAAATTATAGCAGAAACATCTATATATCTGAGGAAAGAAATGGCCATCCAAACATTAGTCCTTTAGAATACCCAAAGTATATAAGCAGAAAGATCCTTCCACATCATATATTTAAAATACCAAGAACACAGAGGAAAGCAATAATATTGAAATCTGCAATGGAAAGATTTCAAGCTGCTTACAAACCCAATTGAGAGATTTCTAGCTGCGTTTAAACCCATTCAAACAACAGCAAACCTCTCCATGAAAATCGCTAAGCCCAGCAGAGTATGAACTGGTAGTTTTTAATCCCCAAACAAATATCCAAAACAGTTATCCTTTAAAACTGAAGAACTAAAACAATTCATAACTGTTGAGTCCCTGTGTGTCATAAGCCACTGAAAGGAAGATGAAAATACAGAAGCATAAGAGCTTATGAAGAACTATTCTCACAAGGACAGACTAACAAACACAAATTAGGGTAAGTCCAAACATCACTAACTCAGTAAAACAGCACATTTGAATAAGAATAAAACGAAGAAGAAACCAATCTAACCTTTCAACAATCATTTAAATCTAAACACCATAACTTGCCAATTAAAGACACTAGGACTGGCTGGATGTTTTCCAAAATAAGATCAAGCTGTTTGCTTCCCTGCTAGGAACTTACCCCACTGGCAAAGACACACACAACTGAAAAGGATGGACAATGATATTCCAACAGAAAGGCTACCATCAAGAAACAAAGCCCAAATGCTAGCGACAATGCAACATACCTCTGGTAGGAAAGGAAATTAATGAGGCCCTACCATGGAGGTTCTTCCAAAACCTAAGAAGAGGACTACTATATGAAGACACCCCCCACCTGGATTCTCAAGCCACTCTTCAGAAGGGCCATGTTATGGAAGATAGGCTGGTATCAATGCACGAATGAATAAGGTGCCAAGTCAAAAATGAAGTAGTATTTTGCTACAAAAAAAGAATTATGCCCTTTGCAGGAAAATGAAACTGGAGATCATAATAAGTGAAATAAACCAGATTCAAAAACAAGTTTAGTTTCATATGTAGAATTAGTTCAGTTTTGTTTTGTTTAAAGAAAAGGTGTAAAAGCGCAATTGGAAGGAGTTAGGGAACCAGGGATAAGGGGCAAAAAAGAATGGAAGTAGCAGTAAATGAAACCAAAGGACACGATATCACAAAAAGTCACAAGTGTGAGGGTTACTGTGAATTGTCAACTTCACAGGACTGAGCATCGCAGGCCTCTAGGCAAGCCTGTGAGATAATACGTTGATTATGTCACCTGGAGTAAGAAGACTTGCCCCATTGTGGATGACACCATCCCTAGACTGTAGTCTCCCTGACTGTATAAAATAGAGAAAGTCAGCTGAGTACTCTCTGCTATGAAGTGAAATAATAAAGATATTGTATTGGACGTAGAACTCAAATGTTTATTTTACACAATAAGTTTCTAATACTAGCACTGGGGAGATGCTCAGTCATGCACTTGCCTCTGACATGGGGACTGAAGTGTGGCTCTCTATCACAGCATAAAATGTCAGGTACCTAGGATACCAGTGCTGGAGAGGTGGAGACAGCAGGATCCCGAGGCATGCTGACCAACTAGACGAGCTAATTGGTAAGCACCAGGGTCAGTGAGGAGACCTCTCACTTCCTCATATATGCCCGTGCACACACACACACACACACACACTCTCTGATACTTAGTACTTTGAAGTTATGCTCTAAAACATGATTTGGTTGAACAAATGGCGACACAGCTTCAAAATCTCCAATAAGCCCTCTCCCAGTCAAGGCACCTTTGAGTAACAGTCAAAAAGAATTAATGATTCCACCGAGTGGCAAAATCAATCAACTGCAAATGATCATTTATTTCCTTGTAGTTGCAGGAACCTAGAGTGTCCTGGTGTGGGGGGGCCCGTGAGAGTCAAGCCACCATCCTATACCTGGAGCTGCAGGGTTAACCATAATTGGGCAAAGCACCACAGCATCAGCACAGACATTCCACCAAAAGAACAAGCTGTGAAGCAGCCGGAGTTCAGAACAATGGTCCCGATAAACAAGGGTTCTGCTGGAGACCTCTTTACTTCTAAGATCCTGTCGTTCCGAGACGAGCTTTGATGGCAAAGAACGAATAATCTGCTAAACAGCAGAAGCCACACTCATGCTTCCAGCTGAAACAGGATCAGATAAGTAAACATGAGCTATTGACTACAAGGGGTAGGTCCAGATGTGGATGGTCTGGGGATGCACAGCTAG